AAGGTTTCTGCAGGGTGGGGTCGTCTTTCCATTGCCAGCTTCTGTGGGCTGTCATCAGCCTGTTTGATATTAAAATTTGTGTCCATGGAACTTGCTAGAAACTTCTCTGGCTTCTATAACCTTCCTGTCCCTCATTGCTCTGTTCACTTCTTAGTCTGTGAGTGGGTCTTGGATTTTCTGTTGGGATGAGCTTTTTCACAAACTTCAACCAGTGTATGTATGCTTGTGACTCCCAGCCCCTCCCACTAACTCTGCACCTCTCTGGTGGGCACAGTGCCTGAGCCAACTTCTGTGGGGCATCTCCAATAGGATGTCTCATTTTGCCTCCCCCCTGCCATTCTGACACTTAGACTCATCATCCCACCGGTCCCAACCTGCTTGCCACATAGCATACTTCTAGAAGGGGCTTTGGGGATGGTTCAGGGCCTGGCTACCATTTAGCCTAGACAACAGTCTTCACCACTCCTCCTTCAAGTCAGCTCAGGAGCCAGGTCCAGGGCAAGTCTTCGCTGGCGCCTGACTGAGCCAGCCCCTTGCTGCACATAATGCTGTGTTAGGAATGCACACGCGTCTCTGGGATGGCCAGGGAAGGCCTTGTGTCCATCTCCCTCCCAGTGAGGCAGTATAAGATACTGTTGGACAGTTCGCTGGGCAGGCACTGGAGCATCTCATTGAGGTTCCACAGCAGTGGCCACTCCCATGCTCGCTCTTGGCCACTGAAGCTGCTCATTCCCTAGTGCACAGAACGCCTTCCCACCACCAGCACCTGCTAACCCATTCCAGCCTGGAATTGTCTGTCCACTTGCAGTTTGCATAGTCCCTCCACTTCAAAGATAGGTTTCCTGTGGACAGTGGTGGCTTCATGACAGATAGCGGGGGGGTTGGGAACCAGTGCATCTTAACTCTGCCTTCTCAGGGGGGTTTGCTCTGTTTTTTGTGGCAGTTTTGATTTCCTCTTTGGCCTGAAAGTTATTCAGGGAGAGAGAAAAAGAGGAGTTTATATTTCAGTGACTTCATTTTATATGGGTATACTTACCCTGTGTTCATTTTCAGAATTTCTTGGTAAAAAAAAATGGTGCCTGCTTGACTTTTTGATGTGGTTTTGGAGGTTTGCTTGCTGTGTCTCTTTGGCATCAAAGAACAGAAATGTTGTGTCTCACAGCCATGGAGGCATGAAGCCCCAAGCCAAGGCGCTGACAGGCCATGCCCGCCTGCAACCTGCAGGGTACCCCTCCTGGCTTCTGCCTTGCGCTCCTGGGCTCCTCAGCAGGCCTTGTGCCTTGGGGTGCAGCTGCGTGACCCACTCATCGGCCTTGACATGGGTGTCTTCTCCAAAGCTTGCTTGCTTGCAGCTGACCTTTAGGGACTCACTGACATGCCCTTTGTGGGCCAGCAGATTGCCAATTTTTGCAAGTGTCCCGCAGGTATTTGAATAGGAATTAGAATAATCTCTTTTGAAGTTTGATGCACAGATTCAATTTAAACCCTTAATATTCCACCTAAGTTTTCTTGCCTTGGTCTGAGCCATGGAGAAGTGAAAAGGTTTCGGTTCCCAACTGCAATTGTTATTTTGGGAAATTTTTCTGTTAGCAAGCATTTGATGTCCTATTATGCAGTACATGAAAGAAACTGTCATGTGAAGTCACAGTGTGTGGCCTCATCTATCAATGTAAAATGGCCTTTTTTGTCAAACTCAATACTCGGCTTATTCTCTCCTTAGATGATTACAACATGATCTAATACTTGATAAAAGCTGTTGGTTCCTGATACATTTTCTCACTCTTACTTTGACTGAGGATCTTTTAAAAGTTCCAGAGATGCATCTTACAATTTTTTAACCAGTAATTTAAAACTTTATAACCTAGTAGCAATTTAATCCCTTCACATTTCAAGTTCTGTCAGATTTCTGTCATTTTGCTTCCCTTTTTTGTGTTTTCCATTTTTTTGGTAGGTTATACTTTTTTCCTTTAGTTTTTTATTCAAGTGATTTGGAATTTATACAATAGATGCGCTTCTTCCATTCTCTTGGCCTGTTGTAATATTTGAATCTATGTTTTTTTTTTCAATAAGATCAAGAATACAGTAATAACGAGGAATTATTTTGAAGTGATGGACTGTTTTGAAGGCGGCTTTTGTTAGTTTAAATGCTGGCAGTTTGGAGATGCTATTTTAATATATTCTGTTTTTTCCCTGCTTTTAAAAAAATATTCTATTCTCCTTTCAATGAAATGGTCTATTTGCTTCAGTGGTTCCTTCACGTGTCATTTCATGCAGAGGCAGTGAATGCCACCCCCCGAGTGGGCTCCCTCCATCAGGCACCAAAGGGGGAGATGATGTGATAGCTCTTTGTTTCCACTGCGTCCGCCGTGTGCAGATATTATCACATGCATTTCTCCAGTTGAGCCCTGCAAGCGCTGTAGATACCACCAGCCTCCTTGTCTAGATCATAGCATCCAACTCAGAGGAGTTCACTAGCTGCCCAGGATCCCACAGCAACAGGACCCACCATCGTGAACGCAGGCAGTCAGTGGAGGCCAAGCAAAGCTGAAACTAAGATCCAACTCACTTTGACTCTCTATCCAGGGATCTTTTAGCTGCCACCTACAGAGGCTTATGATTTATCTAACACCTAGAGTGTATAGCGATGTCACTGAGGGATCACCTGGACCAGTCTGAGACCTGACACAAGGGGGAGACTAAGCTCACATTGGATTTCCATAATCATCCCTTCAAGGCTGAAAGGCATTTCTCTGGCTGTCCAGCAGGGGGTGCTACATAGCCAAGAAACTTTATTGCTTCCCTATAGAGCTTGGAAAGCCAATACTGACCCCCAGACTTTGAAAAGCAAAACTCAGTGTTGGTTTTTGAGACAGATTTTCAACTCAGTGGCTAAAATTTTTCTGTTTACATACTTTTATTTAATGGTACCGAATAGTAAATAAAAACTTACATAATGGGTCAAATTCCCTTTTAAACGATAAACCCGCAGGTTAAAAACTCCAGAATATAAACCAGTGAGCCCAGAGTCCATTCTAATTTCAGGTTAACTAAAAGCAGTTGATTGCTTAGTTGGCTTTGAGGTGGTGGCGGGGTAAGAAGGTACTGCTGCATACTCGTCCCTCTCAGCTCTGCCCTCTTGAAGGACAGATGGCCTTTGTGGGGGCCTTGTACCTGCATCCGGCCCTCTGGCAACAGATGGAGCCGGGAGGTGGTACCCGCCCTGGGGATACTACGAGCTCCTTTTGAAAGAAGGTGACATCCTGCTCTTCTGTGTGTCTGATACCTTGTTCCACAAATGGGAATGGGTTAGATCTCTCAGTTCTGGCCCCGTGCAGTTTGTCCTAGTTCCACATCGGGCCCTTGACTGACAGGAGAGGGAGTCTTACAGAGTGCAAGCTGGGTGAATTACACATACTCACTGCTTTAATGGTGACTTGACATGAACTCCCGAACTGACTCATGGTTGAATTATATTTACTCTCTTCCTTAATCTTAATTTTCAGTGATGCTTGAAAGCGCCATAGGAGGAAGTTTTACTAGGGAGCATTTAATTTATTTTTAAAAATAGTTTAATATTAGTTAAATGTGCATTTCATGATGCCTAAAGATTTACAGAAGTAGATCTTTGCTAATCACCTGCTTGGTGTTCAGGACTGTTGTCAAAAGAGGTATGAGATATGTTCCTCTTCCTTGAAGCTGCTCATTGCTAATTGTAGCTTTTATAGCACATAAGACCTGTAATCATTGGAGTCCAGCATGAAGGGAAACTCAGGTAAAGACAGGCCTCCATTATTAGATGTGGGTTCTGTGTTAGCTACTGCATAGGTAAACTTGAGCTATTTAAGAACCTAAAACACTCTCTTAGATAGCCACATACTGCCTTCTTATGGAAACATAAGACAATGTAAACAGCTGACTCAGGTCACACAGCTAGTGAGAAACATGGCAGGAGTCCAGCTCAGGTTTCCCAGGACTTGCCAAGCTGCCAAGTGGTGTTCGAGTCTCCTAAATCCTAAGTGTGTATGGCAGGAGGTCGCTTGAGTCAGCATTCCATGCGGGACTTGGTTGTTAAGTGGAACACAGTTGAATCTGTATTGGTCAGTGTTCTGGAAAAGATGGTAAACTCAGGGTGGGAATTAAAGGACTTTGCATGAAGGGACTGCTTACAGAGGGGAAAGCAGGGTTAAGGTGACCAGCAAGAGGAGAGGAGGCACTTGGGAAAGGTCACCTCACCAGACTACAGGAGCAGGAGACATGGGGAGAGAATGGCATGGCTGGCATGACATGAACCCATGTAACGGGAAAAGTGAGTCCGCCAGCAGCCAGCAGTGCTCAGGGTTAGAGGATCTGCTGCTAGCTGCACCCAGGGAGGAGTGGAGGGAACAAACCCAACTCTCTCACTCTCTCTCTCTCTCCCTGTCTCTTTCCCTCCCCGCTCATTCTTTCTCTCACTCTGCATCTCACTCCCAAAGAGAAGGCGCTCTGTGGTGGTCCAGGACTTAGACACCAGCCTCAAGGTTAGAGCAGAGCAGAACAGGGGAAGCGCTGGTCTGGAGGAAGCCAAGGACGGCCTTCCATGTGACTTGCAAGAGAGAAGACAGTGTGCGCACAGCCATAGCATGAGCAAACTCAGGGCAGCTTCTGTTGGGGCTTGTGGAGCTCTTCCTTACACGAGTGCAGGGCCCAGAAACAGCAGAAGATAAAACTGAGCAATCCTGCCTGTTGGAATTACCTTGTACCAAGTGAAGGCACCTGCTCTTCACCTGATTCTCAATAGTCAGTCAGTGCTGTTTCACATGAGCCACTACCTGCATTTTGTTCCTAAGCCAATGAGATAGGAGACGGAAGAGAGGAGGCAAGGGTGAGAGATGACCATCATGGCAGAACGTCCATCCAAAGTGGCCCTCACCAGAAGCAGTCTCTTCGTGGAAGCTTCTGGCTTGGGGAACAACCGTACCTGCAGCGTCCTTGTAGAGTTAACCAGGCTCTCTCTTTTCCAGTGACCTATGGCATGATGAGTGCCAACGTGTACTACTACACCCGGGTGATGTCACAGCTCTTCCTGGATACCCCCGTGTCCAAATCAGAGAAAACAAACTTTAAAACTCTGACTTCAGTGGAAGACTTCTGGAAGGTATTTGCAAATCACTTTGAAAGTATGTCTTCATCACTGAAAATTGTTCATTTGGCTTCCTAAGTTCATTACATGAACATCTGTCCACACACATGAATTTCTGTGAGATAGTGTAAGTTACAGTGAGTTGGTAGATGTTACCATTCCTAGCCTCAAAGAAGAATCAAGTAACACTTACTGGGAACCATGCCTGGGCCTGGCACCAGGCTAGCTCATACCTTGTTTCATCTCCATTGTCATCATTGACAGTAAATGCGAATAATCACCACTCAGTTTCTAAATGAGGAAAAGGATACTGATACTCGTCAATGATGGCCATACAGATAGGGAATAAGAGTGGATGTTTTTCCAGGCTGACAACCACTTCTTCATCCTGGTTTGTAATTAATTGTGTCATTCTCAATCTCATACATATTGATTGAGCTCAGCACAGTGCCTGATTTGGGCTGACCATGTCCTTTCAAAGGCCTGTTGATGTAAACGTCCACTCTGCCTCGTCCCTGGTTGTCGCGGATGCCAGAAGAGGAGCAAAGCATAAGTGATGGGTACTGTGATCTGACCTCATGGCCTGGTGCTGGGGTCAAAGGAGCTACTTCATGGGTGAGAGTTCAGAAACCACACTGATATGATATGACTGTTTTTTTATCATCCCGGTAAGGCCAGTCATCTTACCTCTATTGACTGTCTGATAAGATAATACACTGAGAAAGGACTGGAACTGACTTCCCTACAGGCATCCTTAGGTATGCAAACAAGAACCTTCTCTTATTTATGCAGCTTCTCATATCACTAACTGCCAACTCAGAAGGGTAGGTAGTTGTAGAGTTCAGTTTTACAGCAAGAGCACTTCCATGTTTGCAGCAGCCCAGTTCATGAGAGTAGAGATAGGGGATCAGCCTAGATGTCCATGCGCCAGTGACTGGAGGAAGACCACGTGCTGTATACGTATACAGTAGACTATTACTCGGTCATAATGATACTCTGCTGGCTCTACCTTCAGACCAGAGATGATCTCCCCAAGAAACCGTTGAACTTATCTGGACAATAAGATACTGGACTCTATGCTTGGTATATGCTTGCAATGAAAGAATCTCAACTAAACTTGAACTGTGGCAATGCAGGAAGGTGGAGGAATCCACTATGAGGGGAGGGTTTGAGGAGGGGTGGAGGGAATCCCAGTACCTATAAAACTGTGTCACATAATGCAATGTAATTAATAAAAAAAAAAGTGGAACAAACATTTGCAACAAAATAGATGGGCCTGAAGATTACTATGCTAAGGGGGAAAAGTTTGCTCCAAAATGAAAAATAACCATGTTTTCTCTATTCAAATAGAAATTAGTATAGAAAGAATATTAATAAAACCAAAAAAGGGCGGGGTGGGGGGAGTCCAGACAAATGAAAGGTCCACCAGAGAGCAGACTATAACCTTTGTCTAAACAAGTATAGAGTCAGGACCCGTGTGGGTTGCTTTTTCGCAAGGGAAGGAGTAGTGGGTCATGGTTATAGATGTACACACCATTCCTCACCTTTAGCCCTAGAACAGAAAACAGGGTTCCCATTTGTCAGGCACATACCTGCTGACTCGGTGCCAGATGGAGTGATGAGGAAAAGAGCAAGTTTTCCAGAGGCAAAACCCCTGGTTCAGAGAATACTATGAAGCTCCGGACTTCAACACTAGCATGTGCAGGGGCCAGAGCCAAGCCCCAGTCTGAGGGCTAACAAAACCCACTCATGTCACTGAACCATGTTCTTAGAGATTCCAGACTTGGTCATGTGAACATCTAGTTAGAACCCAGGAGCACCAGCTTGGGACTTTTGAAAAACGATGCCTTTGCTTGCAGTTTACAGAAGGCTCCTTGTTGGATGGGCTGTACTGGAAGATGCAACCCAGCAATCAGACTGAAGCTGACAACCGCAGCTTCATCTTCTATGAGAACCTGCTGTTGGGGGTGCCGCGTATCCGGCAACTCAAAGTCCGAAATGGATCCTGCTCCATCCCCCAGGACTTGAGAGATGAGATCAAAGAGTGCTACGATGTCTACTCCATCAGTAGCGAAGACAGGGCTCCGTTTGGACCACGGAATGGAACCGCGTAAGTGTCCCTGTGTCCTGGCCACTTGGTGACAATCACTCATTCATTCACTCCCAGCTCTCTCCTGAAGTCACTTACTCATTCTCCAACAGTGTCACTCAGGGAAGGTTGCCTACAGGGCCACTTCAGTACCTGTCCTTGTGCCATGCCCAGCTGAACTTTGACTTCTTTCTTTTCCCTCTTGCTTAACCCCTGTTCAGTGTCTCTGTGCTTGTTTTTCCAAAGCCTAAGTTGCTGACCACACAACTCACCAAAAAGAAAGTATCTGAGATTTCAGAGGTTTGGTGTAAGTCGCTGGGGCCTTGTTTCCATAGGTCCAGTGACATCATCCATTAGATTTTTTTTATTATTACCAGAAAGCTTTCTGGTCTAGAAATTTCTTTATTAGTTCTTATAAATGGGTGTTTTTTTTTTTTCAGATTGTCATTATTTCAGTAAGCATGAGAGGCAGTTTTCTATCTGGATCCCAGCCCACTCTTCTCCAATGTGTTTATGATTTTTAATTATAGTATGTCCTTGTACCTGCAATTACATGCAAGGGTTTGTATGTTGATAGTTGTCCTTCATACCTTGAATTTTAAAGGAGAGTACGTATTATTTTAGAAGTATTGTAGTTAGGTAAAAAAAATTAGGAGAATTAAGGCTGGTGTGGCACAGTGGGTTAATTCACTAGCAGTGACTGCATCACATTTGAGCACCAGTTCGAGTCCTGGGTGCTCCACTTCCAGTCCAGCTGCATGCTAATGCACCTGGGAAAGCAGCAGCAGATGGTCCAAGGATGGGCGTCCCTGGCACCCACAAAGGAGACCCAGATGGCGACCTTCAGCCTGCCCAGCCCTGGCCTTTTGCAGCCAATTGGGTTGTGAGCCAGTAGTATGGAAGAATTTTGTCTGTTTTCCTCTCTCTCTCTCTGCCTTTCAAATAAATAAGCTAAATCTTCAAAAAGAAGTGGGAAGTTCTTGGAGGCTGCCTTAGAGTGGCCTTCCTAAGCCAGTTCTGTTAGCTCACCTAGATCCCTTTCTTGGGAACCAAGGCAAGCCAGAGTCCAGGTTGTTGCAAAAAAAAAAAATAGGGCAGAGACACCTGCGTTGACTAGAGTGTTTGTCTCCCATATAATTCTCTCTTTGGATCCAAAAGAAACAAATCCAATGCAAATCAGGAGACTTAGCACAGAGGGCCTGATTTTCTTGAAAGACTTTGTCCAGGGCCCGGCGGCGTGGCCTAGCAGCTAAAATCCTCGCCTTGAATGTGCTGGGATCCCATATGGGTGCCGGTTCTAATCCCAGCAGCTCCACTTCCCATCCAGCTCCCTGCTTGTGGCCTGGGAAAGCAGTCGAGGACGGCCCAAAGCCTTGGGACCCTGCGTCCGTGTGGGATACCCGGAAGAAGTTTCTGGCTCCATAGCATCGGCCATTGCGGTCACTTGGGGAGTGAATCATCAGATAGAAGATCTTCCTCTCTGTTTCTCATCTTCTCTGTATATCTGACTTTCCAATAAATAAATAAATCTTTAAAAAAAAAAAAAAAAGAAAGACATTGTCCAAGTTGTGATGGTAAGGGCACTTTCTCCTGCTTCCTTTCTAGTTCCCACAAAGTCTAAGAGGGCCCTTCATCTGTGCCACCTCATCCAGTACTTTGCTTCACCTCACATTGCTTACAGAGAGAGGGTGGCCCCGCCACTGCTCCTTTCGTGCCAGACACTACATAGAGGTGCTTTCTGTCAGGTGCATCGTGAACGAAACTACGCTGTAAGACAGGTGTCCTCTCCATTTTGTATGAGGGACTAAAGTCCAGAAGTCAGGCACCTGATGAGCTTGTCCCTCTTGGACCATAGCTTCAGGGGGCCTCAAACCAGCCAGTTCCTGAGTCACCAGGGGAGACAGCCATTTCCTGCAAGGGTTCTGGAAACAGATGTGCCAGATGTCGGTTGACCACCGCCCCCCGCCCCCATCCCCCCAGCCTCAGAACCCTCATTCCCAAATCAAGGCTATTCAGTGTGTGAGAATTGAGTAAGAAAACACCTAACAGATTCCTTGTCGAGCCTATCAGTCCACTTTGATAACATGCATTTACTGCTTTCTTAACCTTACCAGGAGCCGACTGTCTTTATGGTTGCCGCAATTGTGCCACTGATTTTTCCCTGTTGGGTTCTTGGTTTTGGTCTTTATTTTCCCATTAGCTGGACCTACACCAGTGAAAAGGATTTAAATGGGAGCAGCCACTGGGGAGTGATTGCCACATACAGTGGAGCTGGTTATTACTTGGATCTGTCAAGGACCAGGGAGGAAACAGCTGCCCAGCTGGCAGGCCTCAAGAAAAACAGCTGGCTGGACCGAGGAACCAGGGCAACTTTTATTGACTTTTCGGTGTACAATGCCAACATTAACCTGTTCTGTGTGGTCAGGTGAGTACCGACAGCAGCGGCCTCCCAGTCCTGTGTCAGGTGTGTGTGATCTGTTCTGGAACTAGATCAGGAAACCCTTGTCTGCACCTGTCTTCAATGAACATTCCTGAGCTGCAGACCCATCCCATGGGTGAGGTGGACACTGAAGGTTTACTGAGTTCCGGATGCTTGGGGAAAGGAGTGAGGATCCTAGGAGATTCTGAGTTGGAAAGAACCTCAAATCTGGTTCATGTTCATCCCCATAGTGGAACATTTCTAGAAAGAAAAAAAAAAGCATTATGTTTTGCTATCTATCCTAAGCCATGATAAATGTACCCCATCCCTCAAGCCACCCAGCTGTCAATCTTGCCCCATTTCTCTGAGTGTCCGGCTGTCAGATGGTGCCCGTGCAGTGATGTTGTCGGGATGGAGCCCAGTGTTCAGCAGGATGCCCGGGTACCTGCTCGGCTCGACACTCATCAAAGGCCCAGGATGTTCCTCCACTAGAGTCTGCAGTGTTGCTGTCATGACTGCATTGGGAGAGATAGAGAAACTGACAGAGGTTCCTGTGGTTTCTCTGGGGACTCATGTTCATCCATTCATTTCTTCATTCCTCATTTACTGTATGCTTCATGTATGCCAAATACTGTCCTCGTGTCAGGACAAAACAATGAATAAAACAAAGATCCCTGTCCTTGGAGAGCTTCTGCTCAGCAAGGAGGATGTATGTAATGGATTATAAGCAAGACAAAGAAATTGTATAATGTGTTAGAAGGTAAATAAATTCTGGGATCCACACTGTGGCACAGCATGCTAAGCCGGTACTTGTAATCCTGGCCTTCCATATGAACCCAGTTCAAGCTGCTCTACTTCAATCTAGCTCACTGCTACTCTGTCTAGAAAAGCACCAAGGGGTGGCCCAAGGGCTTGGGCCTCTGCCACCTCCATGGGCGAGCCCGAGGGAGTTCCTGGCTTTTGACTTCAGCTTGGCCCAGCCTTGGCTGTTGCAACCATTTGGGAATGGACCAACAAATCAAAGATACCTCTCTCACTCTTTCTCTGTAACTGCCTTTTTTCTTTTTAAGAGAAAGATAAGTTAACACGCTACTTAAAGAGAGAAGGATGCAGTAGGCAAAGCAGACAGCATGCGGAGCTCACCTTCTCTAATGACCTGATGAATATGTCAGCAACTCCCAAACAATACAATATGGATTGTCTGTGCTTAAATTTACATGCAAATAAGAAGGATATAGTTTCATAATATCCTTATTGTGTCACTATTTTTAGGTTCGGCTGTTGTAATGGCCAGTTAAATTTTTCCCAGCTTAAAAATGGCTGTAGATAATAATATCACATTAACTCAAGTTATGACTAGAGATGAATGAGAGTTTATCATAGTTACTATTGAGCTTTTCCTAATGATTGCGATTATGCCAGAACAGGGTAGATTGGCACCAAGGCCTTGAGTGTTTCTTTCCCATCTTCCCCATGCTGCAAGGATGGACATCATCAAGGCAATTGCTCCATTTCTCTACCTGTTTTCCAAATTCCTGGCATAGTGGCAGTGCAGAGCCAGTGAGGCAAGAGGGAAAGGGCTGGGCAGTCACAGTCCACTTTCTTCCCTTTGGAGCTCACAGGGAAGCTGTCAGGGGCCCCTGCACTTCAGTATTGTCTTCCTGTGCCCATGTGATTCTCACACTTCCTCGCCAGCTCATCCAGTAGAAAAGAGAGAAGGAAGAAGAAGGCCTTTTCTTGGTTCTAGCCCCTTCCTTTGGGTATTGCCATGGATGTCTAGTAGGTGACAAAAGGGCTTTTCCAAGTCTTAAAACGACAGACCCGGGAATCCTACTTCTAGTTCAGTTGGAAGACTGCACTATTCAGTGAATCACTGTCATTGTGTAACTTCTACAGAATGGGAAATTGCCCACCCCCCACGCACCCAAATCTTCAGTCCAGTAATAATGCAATACCAGCTACCAGTGCCACCAGAATGAGTCAGATAGTTAGGATACTTTATCCTGATAATTAGGATAAAGTACCTTACTTTGCTTTACTTTAATCTGTTAGGATAAAGGCTCTGAGAAGAAGAAGGTATCTTAGAAAGCCAGGTGTTAAAAGACTCAGTCCTATCTGTATTCATGTACAAACTACATAATCAGCCAGGTCACATTCTGTGCGCATTACTTCAATTTCTTCATATTCTTTGTACTATCTAGTAGAATGACCTACACTGAATAGCAGTTGTTGACAGGCTTCTTTGTTGATGAACTTGTATGTGTAAAAACCTATATAGCATTTTGAGCAATACGCATAGCAGACAAGTCTTGGGAAAATTTCAGAAGAAATAATCCTTTTGGAGTAAGAGACCTTGGAAAGCCTTATTCCTTTTGTGACCCCAAATTCTACAGGCATGGAGTTACCAACTGTGATAAAAATGGTTTGCCACTAGTAGGGAGTGGCTGGTAGGAAGAGCTTCACTACTTGATAGTGCAGGGCAGAATAGAAGAACGTCTTCTCCTAGCTGTCCCCATGTGTTGTTCTTGCTGTTATTGTTTTAATTGTTCTTATTGCCATGCAGGTTATTGGTTGAATTCCCAGCAACAGGCGGTGTGGTCCCATCTTGGCAATTTCAGCCTGTAAAACTGATCCGCTATGTCACCACTTTTGATTTCTTCCTGGCAGCCTGCGAGATCATCTTTTGTTTCTTTATCCTTTACTATGTGGTGGAAGAGACACTGGAGATTCGCATTCACAAGCTACGCTATTTCAAGAGTTTCTGGAATTGTCTGGATGTTGTGATCATTGTGGTAAGTTGAAAAGCAATACAAAATTCCCATCTCTGGACTCAATGCTTGTGAGTCTCTGATTGCTTCAGCCTGTGCATCTTAATATTCCCCAAAGACAGTCTCAGACTTCCCATCAGTTATTTTTTGTTACTGATTATTTTCCATTTTGCCTAAGTAATATTTCTGACATGAAAGTGGAGCAGTATGTCCTATAAGTTCTCAACCACATTAATATTGAGCATAACTCAGTAATCTATGTTTGGTTTTGGCAGGTTGTGTGAGATATAGGGGTGAAAACAGTGTTTCACCTCATTTGTTTTGATTTTTTGCTTTGGTATTTTTCCCTTCAACTACGAGGACAGATTAATTTACATTTTTCTGTGCTTGAATACAAAGTTGTTGCAAGAAGAAACATCCGAAACTAATATTTTGAGTAGCAGAAAAAAGAAACAAAAAAAGCTTCCTACAGCTTCAAATTTTCTGTGAATGAGAGAGCAACGCTGGAGTTAAGTCCACCAAAGTTTTCAGTGTGAGGTACCACAACTCAGCAGGCAGATTTAGAGGACAGTCAGGACCATGGCGCCGTGTGGACACTGCACGTGCCCTAACTGCTGCTCAAGATGCTTTCCCCTCATCTTAGTCAGAAATTAATTAAGCATCCTGTCATTAATTTCTGGTGACCTCAGCGTAGAAATGAATTGGTACACTTTTCTGTCTTCAGCAGTGCCAGATCACCTTTTGCTAAGTCCTGCTGCGCATGAAGTCTGTAGTAGCATGCATCAGTGCCATGTGCCTAGACACTGAAGGATCTTGTGTTACTCTGTGAATCCTGCCCACTGTCCTATCACGGACATGACCTTTCAGAATTCTCAAAAGTGCCTTGCTCTGTTAGTATTTTGTTTCCATTAGTCTTATTCATGAAAAAATACTCTTTCCCTGTCCCCTACCAGTTAGTTTGTGCTTTGTCAACTGCTGACTTCATATCATCATCCAATCATTTCCTCCTAAGATTTAGAGAAAATATAGAAAAGAAGGTGTTTAGGTGTGAGTGGAAGAACACAAAGTGATTGAAAAGAGCTAACAGGACCCAGGTTGTGTGATTGTGTGACAGCTGCTGGAATCCCACTCCTCCTGTGAAAGGCAAGCCTTCTGCTTACCCCACAAGTTCGCCCTGTATCCCAATGGACACCTATGACGAGGCCAAAGCATTTATCTGTCCCACGTAGGCTTCCATCACCTGAAACTCAAACAGAAGTTGCTTTCTGAATGTAAATATTTCTTGTTGAAATCATTTGAAATCATGATTGCTTCTACATCTCTGAAGTCCACAGGGTTCTGTCAGTCAGCTGTTTGCCCACAGCCTTGGTCTTTCGAAACTCAGAATTACTAGAAGCAGAAGCCTGTCAGCACATCTCAACTCAAATCATGTTGATTGCTAACTTTCATGAGATGAAAAGTACTCATCCATTTACTCAGCAAATGCTTCCTGAGCACCTACTGCAAACCTGGCTGTGCCCTAGGCACTGGGGATATACGAATGTGTAAAGAAACCAAAGCCCTTGCCTTTCCAAACCTAATATTGGGTACAGAGAGAAAGCTCCCTTGTAGACAGGATGAGAATCCCAAAGAAAAAGCAGGACTAAACAGCCTCACACCATCTCTTCCCTCATCTGTTCTCTCATTTTCTGTTTACAGGAAAATGTATTGTATTTACATTAATGTTGTATATATGATGCTATGTTCCATATTTTTATGAACATTTGTCCTATGCAAGAGTGAAAGCAACTGGATAACAAATTGTAGCTATTGAGAGTTGGGTTGTTATTGGAGTCCATCAGCCTGGCTTCTTCATGCCGCTCAACCAAAGCCACATAGAAAAACATTTTGGTAGAGCCTAGAGAGTCACAGAAATTATCCCTACCACCAGTGTAAATATACAAGATTTGCCTCTGGAAACTCTTCATAGAGAAGAAAGATGGTAAGGTAACTCTCAGCAAGGCAGGTCATTTCTATGGCCATAACCAGGAGTGAAAGTCTGGTCTGCAATCTTTGCCATCACACCTAGGAAGAGACACTAGGCAGCAAAGATCATCACACTTGCCACCTGCCATCTCCTGCAGGTTCATGTCTCACATGAGAGCAAGGTTATTGTTAACCTCTGGACTGTCCACACATGCATATCAATGGTGGTGAGCCAAAAGCACCAATGAGCCCTCGGATCTGGCTAGTTAGCCCAGAATCAAAGACATGTGAAGAGGTGTGTGGCATGAATTAAGCATCAGGGAAACCCTCAACTCACCTTTTGTATTACAAGCATTCTTGAACCCTCCACCCATCATTTCCAGCATTTTTCAAACCCGAGCTCATCCTCTCCTCTTTTTAATGCTACAGCCTGTCTTCATTTGTTTTTCTTACGTTACTTAACTTGGTGTGTTTATCTGACCTTGCACCAGAGTGTAAGATTCTTGCAATCAGGGTTTGTCCAGCTCACTTCTGTTTATCCCTCTTCCTCATTGTGCAGTATTGTTGAGCAAAAGAAAATATAAATGGCCAGAAGAATGATGAGAAATTAGAAAAAATGTTTTTAATTTTAAAAAGCATAAACGAAGGAAACAAGTTGAGATCAAGAAAGCAAGAGCAGGCAGTGATTTAAATTTGAGTGGCAGAGAAAAACCATTTGAAGTTGAATTTATTGCAGCATCACCACTTGTGAATGTGGATGTGGGGGTGTGGCCTTTATGAATGTCGTTGTGTGAGTCCTAAAATTCATAGATTGGTGAACAAAATAATCATTTGAAAGTAAAGTATATTTTGCCAAAGCACTGTAATGAAACTGAGGATCTTTTATTTTCCAGCTATCAGTGGTAGCTATAGGAATCAACATATACAGAACATCTAACGTGGAGGTGCTGCTACAGTCTCTGGAAGATCAAAATACTTTCCCCAACTTTGAGCATCTTGCATACTGGCAAATACAGTTCAACAACATGGCTGCTGTCATAGTGTTTTGTGTCTGGATTAAGGTAACATATTTCATATTCTGGATTTTTGGTATTTTTTACCTTTGCATTAACATGCATCTCACAAATGTTGGAGGAGTTGAATTTATCATTGTTGCCAAATTCAAGCGGCCAGAGCATAGGGTAAACCAGGGTACCCACATGATCAGTCCTGTCACTGGGAATGATGTTACTGCTGCTTCCTGAACTGTTATCAGATCAGCCTGTGGGAGTTTCATTGAATGAATGAGATCAGAGGCCTTCTCAGTGTGTTGGCTGAACCTGCAGTGAGGCCACTGTTAAGCAGGCAGATCCCAGTGATGCTTGGTAGGTGGTACCTAGGTGAAGGAAAGGGAACTACAGAGAGGGGGATAAGGATCATGTGGCAGGGAGGAAGAGAAGCCACGCCTGCTGAACAAAGATTGCCGCTTTCCGGATGCAGGCCGTGGGGCAGGTCAGGACAGACACTTTTCTGAGTAGTTCCTTTCTCATTTCCTTCCTTCTCCCAGGGCCTGGTGTGTATTCCCATGTGTGTGAAAGGCCAGGGCATTTCATAGCACAGGCCTCAATTCTGGGGATACAGGACACTGCAGTAATGCCAAGGCAGCCGCTAGCTCACCAGCTCCTGTTCTGCAATGGTGCCATTCAGGCAGTAGCTGCTGACCACATGAAACCGAAAAGATTTAAGATTACCTTCAATCAGAACTTCACCGCCCAGTCCCAGGGCTCAGGGTCTGAGTAGCTAGTGACTGATATCCTAAGCAATGGAATGATAGAGCATACCCATCACCACAGAAAGTTCTCCTGAGCACCATGGTTCTAGAAAGTACGTAGAAACAGCTGTGACTTTTTCTGACTTAGTGTTTGCACCTGTGAGGCCTGAGCTGTCTCAGAGGGCTTGGACCCCGTTCTGTGTTTCTCATGCTGTCTCTCCAACTAGTTGCTTATTTAAGAATTATTAACACAACAAGCCTTCATCATCTAATAGTAATGATAAAAATCTCAAATGAATAGGAATGAATTAGTTTAAGCCATGTAATTACAACATCCCCCATTTTTTTTTTTCCTGTAAATTGTCACCAGAAACAATTTACAAGAAAAGATTCAATGTGGGGTTGGTGTTGTAGCATAGCAAGGTAAGCACACCTGTGATGCTGGCACCCCGTGTGACTGCCTGGTAAAATCCTGGCTGCTCCCCTTTTGATCAGCTTCCTGTTAATGCTCCTGGGACGGCAGCAAAGGATGATCCAAACACTTGGGACCATGCGTCAATGTAGGAGGCCCAATTAGAGATCCTGGATTTGGCCTGGCCCAGCCTTGGATGCTGCAGCCACTTGAAGAGTGAGCCAACAGATCTCTTTCTCTCTAGCTCTACCTTTCAAATAAGTAGATAAATCTTCTAAAAAAAAATTTTGAAGCTTTCGATTAAGTGAAATTATAGAAATCTAACATGTGCCCTAAGCTGTTGTGCTTAATGTTTTACTTGGAAATATCTTGTCCCTAGAAACTTTTGTTAGGTTGTTTGAGTTAAGGAGTGTAACTTGACTTTTAATATCCCTCAGATGCCTCTGCCACCAAGTCACCAAGTCAGACTTCCATTCCTTTCCCAAGCTAGAGAAAATTCATTGTGTGTGTAGATTATACCTGTTGGTGTCCTTCCTCTCTTTCACAGCTCTTCAAGTTTATCAGTTTTAACAGGACCATGAGCCAGCTCTCCACAACCATGTCTCGGTGTGCCAAAGACCTCTTCGGCTTTGCTCTTATGTTCTTCATTATTTTCTTGGCATATGCTCAGTTGGCGTACCTTGTCTTTGGCACTCAGGTGGATGACTTCAGCACTTTCCAAGAGTGCATGTAAGTACCTGTGGAAGTAAGAAGAAAAACTTGATGGCAGTTCTTAAGGGTAAAGAAGGCCTACTTAAGGGCAAAGGAATCTTCATGAGTATTATTTGACAATCTAGAATTTTAAAACAGTTTTAGAAAGTGGGAATGAATTACCTTTTCCAGAAACACTGACCCACCAATCCAAAAACAGACATTTTGAAATGCCAATGCTTAACCTAGCAGCCCTGGAGTCAGAAGTTGCCGATCAGCCATCGCCAACCAGTAGCATTACAGAGTCCAAGGTAGTCTTGCTGCCAGATGCAGATAGGAGCATTCCAAAAGCCACTTGCTTGTACTTCTATTCCTCTTGAATATTATGCCATACTTTTTGAACTTCAAGTTATTTCTTAGGGGAAAAAAAAGTATTTGTAATTCCAGGAGTAACTTAAAACCACTACTGGAATTTTCATTCTTTTTCAAAGTTCCTAAATAAAAAACTCAAAATAGGATAGAAAAATAGCCAGTCTCAGATTTCCATCAGTTGAGAAAGGAGTCGGGAAAGAAGAATATCTTGGAAATGGAAATTGAGAGAACTTAGGCACAAGGATCCCTGATTAATACTGCTGTTTAACATAGAGCAGGTGGAAGTGCCTTATCAGGAGAGGCCCAGCACTGGCAGCATTCTGCCACTCAAATCTACTGCAAGTAAATGTGAGAATGTTGGATGTCTGAACACAAGGGGTATGGGATCTCCCTCCAGAATTTTCTTTTTCTTTATGAAATTTTAACTTAAAACAGTTGTGAAGATTTCAGGGTATCATCTCTTACCAAGACTAGGAAGCTTTAGAGCCAATTGCTTTTTATGTCATTTAGTAATCATTGCATTTTCAACTAAATGAAAATAACACAATAACACACATAATAGGAGAGCATATTCTTCTAGAAGGCTTCAATTGATGTGTGTCACAAGAGCTTTCTAAAAGGATTGAGTTTTATTTGGCTGCCTTCAAGATGCTAAAATGTTCCAAAACATGTGAAATCGTCTTTCAGAAAAGCTGCATCATCTAGAGGACATTATTTGGTTTTTGTTTTGTTTTATAGCTTCACTCAGTTCCGTATCATTTTGGGCGATATCAACTTTGCAGAGATTGAGGAAGCTAATCGCATTTTGGGACCACTTTATTTCACTACCTTTGTGTTCTTTATGTTCTTCATTCTTTTGGTATGTACATTTTTTTTTATAGTGAGGTGGTTTAACCTTTTTTTATATTCACAAATCATCCTCTCTAGTTTTCTTTCACACCTTACTTTGTACATTATTTAAAACCCAAGAAGTAGAAAAAATATGGGGATGTGAGAAAATTGATTTTATATGTTATTGATAAACAAAATCAAAGCTTAGCCAGGTATCTTTTCAACAGGCTTTTTCTTCACCATGTATGTCTGTGTGATGCAAAAACAACAACAAAAGCCAATGCAAATGAACAGTTACTTAAAATAGTGCTTTTCTCAAAAGTCAAATGTGCTTACATGCTTTTTAAACACAGTTGTCAGCATTTTCATAGTTGCTAGCATGACTCTTCATTTCTCTGCTTCTTCTTTTCTTTTTAGAAAATAGGAACTAACAAAACCAGTGAGGGTATTAAGTGACAGCTTTACATGTCTAAATTAAGGTATTCAAACTTTCTCTCAGTTTACAAGTCTAGAGACTACCTACAAAGACTAGTCAAAAATTAAGCTTAAAAACAACATAATAATGAACTGAAATTGCTTTTACATTTTTTTTAGAAAAAATTTATTCTCAATTTGGTAAAAGTGCATATTTTTAAATCTTAAGCTCTTAGTTAAGTGATTTTTTTTTATGCATTCATTTGTCCACTAGGATATTAAGTTAGCTCTAATTTAGGCAGGGGTTTTCACCTGTACACTCATATTTACAACTTACTTGATATGAACTGTCATCTAAAGAAAATAACAAAATTTATTTTTGTTTTCACTTTCAACAAACTCTCTAAAGAGCCTTTGTAAAAAGTTAACTCACATTTCAGTAACTCAGTGTCCTTTCTATTGCCAAAAAAAGTCCAGGTATTTTTGCCTAGCATCTGCTACATATTGATTATGACATGGCCTTTAACAAAACTGAATGGGTCAGGAATTTCACACGAATATATTGGAGTCTTGCTGTGCACATGGCTGTTTCTTACACTTATGCCTCTTACTATTAAAAAGGAAAAAAAGCCCTAAAAGCAGGCTTTGGATGCTCACTGCCACTGGCAACCTTCTGGATTCCCAAGCAGCAACAGAACAGAAACAGGAAACTAGGAAACAAACATTGTACAGCCAAACCACGGCTGGCCCCAGAACCTAGTCTGCTTAGTGCATCGGTCTTTCAATGCAGGGTTGTAACTTGGGCTATTTGAAATACTAAAACGTGAGCTTATTTAAATCCTATCTCGTAGCAGGCAACACCTTCTAAATTAGAGGTTTAGTTTTTTGTTTGTTCATTTGCTTGGTTTTGGAGATTTAGTTATTTTTATTGGAAAGGCAGATATGCAAAGACAAGGAGACAGAGTAGAAAGATCTTCCATCCTCTGGCTGATTCCTCAAATGGCCTTAATGCCCAGAGCTGAGCTGACCCAAAGCCAGAAGCCAGCAACTTCTTCTAGGTCTCCCACATGGGTATAGGATCCCAAGGCCTTGAGCTATCCTCCACTATCTTTTCAGGCCATAAGCAGAAAACTGGATCAAAAGTGGAACAGCCGGGACAAACCAGTGCCCATACAGGGTGTCAGTGCTTCAAAATAGAGGATTAGCCTATTAAGCCATGGAACTGGCCCCTAAGTTAGTTCATTTTTGAATTTTTTTTTTTTGAAGATTTATTTACTTGGAATACAGAGAGACAGAGATTTTTATAGACATCAGTTCACATCCCTCTTCTCCTGTCCCTATCCCCTGGCCCGATGGTCTTAATGACCGAGTGTGGCCCAGGCTGAAACCAGGAACCAGGAAGTCCATTCTGGTCTCTGACATGAGTGACAGAACTGAACACTTGGGCCATCTTCTGCTGCCTTTTCGGGCACCTTACAGGGAGCTGGATCGGAAGCCCAGCAGCTGGGACTCAAACCAGTGCTTGGATATGAGATGCTAATGTTGCAGCGACAGCTTAAACCACTGTGCCACAGTGCTGGTCCCTGTTCGGTTATTTCATGTGATCACTCTGCAGAACTTGAAAAGATTCTCTTGAGTTTTTGTGTTTATCTTGAAAGTTTTTCTTTTATTTATTTATTTGCAACTCAGAGAGAGAGGGGCAGGGAGAGATCTCCCATATGCTGGTTCATTCCCAAGAAGACTACAACAACCAGAACCAAACCCAGAAGCCAGGAGCTTCACTGGGTTTCCTGTGTGGGTGGCAAGAGACCAAGTACTTAGGCCATCTGCTGCTTTTCCCAGGCTGTTAGCAGGAAGCCAGATAGGAAGTGCCACAACCAGGACTTGAACCAGTACCCATATAGGATGCCAACATTGCAGGTGGCAGCTTTACCGGCTATGCCACAATTCTGGCCCCTAAAATTGTTTTTTATATCACAGCTCAAAAGGGTATTTCTCTCCTTGCATACCCCTACCCACCACCCACTCCCACCACCTCAGGGAAGGGACAGGCAAATAGAAGGCTATTATTGACACAAACCTGTCTTGTAAGAAATGACAAGTCCAGTGTAGGGTTGGTGGCCTTTCTGAGATAACTCCTAGTGTTAATTCATTGCCCTGTTCAGCAAGAAGCCTCTGGGGTGGAGTGGTTCCTCCCACCCTTCACACATAGGGAGACACCTCCCTCTGCAATGACCCTGGGCGAGAGGCAGAGTGCAGAGAGGGGTGCACCTCCTCAAGAACCTTTCTTAGCCAGGTTCTGTTTTGCAGTCTCCTCAGCGACCAAGCAAGGAAGGCCTTAATCCATTTCAAAAAAGACAGTTCACAGGTGTTGGCTCATAGTCATTTGGAAACAAAACGCAGAGATGCCTCAGTTGGAAGGAAGTGGAAAATGTTTCTCCGCCTTATCCTGATAAAGACATACCCCCAGAATTGAATTTTTAGCCAGGAACTTAAATATGTTCTGTACGCTAGTCTCATTTGTTTAATAGATTCCTATACAATATTCTTCTTTTACTGGTGAAGATTTAGTAGCATATTAAAATTAAGAGCCCTTGTTTGTTAACTCATCATTTATGGAATCTTTGCTGAGCCACTGGATTTCAGTATAGATTATATAAAAGGCGGTACTTTTAAAAGCTCAAGGCAAAAGAAAAATGATAGATGTTTGTTTTGATGTAAAAAATATTGAGATCCATAGTTTTCTAATAATAAGCATGTCCCATGAACTTGTGGGAAGTCCTTCCTCTACATGGATTCTAAAATATACTTGTCCCAAATAAACTTACCATTTCATTACATTGAAAGCCTTCCTTGCATTGTGTGTAACATACACTAGCATTCATTTGATTACATGATATGGGGCAGTGTATTAAGCCTAAAGGAACCATGGTCACAAAAGCAGAGACCTTGCCCTGCTGAAGATTCCCTGGACTTGTTAGGAAGATAGACATAATAAATACACTACTCTGTAATCACAAGCCACAGTTACATTGCTAAAAAAGAAAAGTAAAATAAAAATAAAGGATGTACGCATAAAAGAGGGGCCTAATGATCCACTGGAGAAAATCTGCTGGAAACACAAGCCCTTACCACTGAGTGAGGGGAGAGTGGAAAAAAGGTGTTAACCTTTCCTGAATAGCAAGAGTAAGTTAGGCAGCCCTTGCCTTGCATTAGGGCTTCTCAGCAATCCCCATATGTTTGTCCGTCGATCTTCACAGCAGATCTGTAAGGGAACTGCTGCTGTGTTTGCCATTTTACAAATGCAAAACAAGCACATAAATCAATGTTCCAAATAAAGCTTAGGAAAATTAAAAAGGATAGTCTTGGCAGTTGCAGAACTGGAACCCAATTTAGCCTAAGTCCAAAGTCTACATATTTTCCACAAGGTTTCTATTTACATATCATCCAGCTTAGCCTAATATATTGCTGCTTGCATATATATATATATATATATGCTCTGTACCTCTTAAATATGATTATATAACAAGATGTGGATAAGCATAGACTTGCTTGTCTGTGTTGACAGTGAAATTTGAAGAATTTTTTAGACTTTATACTTGCAGTGTATGTGAAAATTTTTAGTTGTGTGTAACACAGATAAGCAAAAATAACAATCCTATTCCACAGGTAAATACATTGATATTTTGTCATATTTCATTCTTGTCTGATTTTGCAAGATATAACACATGGTTTTGTAAGTCAAGATATATTATGTTTTCTACCTGGTATGACTTCATTTTTTTCATATTTTCATGGGAAAATAGCTTTTCAAGAAACATGGTAGCAAAATTATTAATAAATGATTTTGTAAAGCAATCAGATGGGAGAAAGAAAAGGTAAATCAAAAGGTATGTGTTTATGCTGGCAAAATATAGTTTGCTTTCTTTCTTTAATCTCTAACTTCCTTTGACTCACAAACAGAATATGTTTTTGGCCATCATCAATGATGCTTACTCTGAAGTGAAGTCTGATTTAGCTCAGCAGAAACCTGAAATGGAACTCGCTGATCTTATCAAAAAGGTAAGACAAACCCCAACTTTTAGAACTTTTTCCTATATGACACAACCATTATTTCAGTATGTTAAGAGCAGCATTTCCACAGATCTGCTAAAATTGTTTGTACTAAAGAGGAGAACACTTTGTTTCAGGTATAATTTAAATGTTTTCTATCTTGGAAACGTGAATATACTACTAGCTTGGTCTTCGATTCTAGGAATTGTTACATATCTTGTAATTAAGCTCTCAGGGACCTTTTTGACTGCTGGAAGCTGAGCTGTTGATTTTATCTCCTTGGCTTGTCTTGATACCTCCTGTAGCAGAGATGTAGAATTCAAAAGAAACTGAAAAAGGAAGATCCCATAGACATTCCCACCTCCTCTAAAAAAAAATAAAGAACAACTTCAGCAGAAATGTGTGGTCACTGACACCGCACCTTGGTCTTCTAGGGAAGTTTTTAAAATACTAAAAGAAAAAGGTGCCTGGATCCTGGCTGTAGCCCGAGGACTGAGAACTTTCCGTGGGCACCTTCTCAGGACTTGGTTCATTGTGAGATGGAAAGTCAGGCCCGGGAATGTTGGGCAGGCTTGTTCTCAGGGTGACTTTTCTTTGCTCTGGATAAATCCTATTCTGCAGCACATAGCTACATTGAACATTCACAGCTTCTTCCTTAACATTGCTTGGCTAAGACTTTGTGAACCTTTAACTGTCATGTTTATCTTCAGCTCAAGCCCTGTTGTCTGTGAATTATGTGTAACAGAAAACCTCAGCTTTTCAAAGCAAGGGCCCTGTTGTCCTGAATTCTACCTAAGAGAATTGGGTAGCCAATCCCCACAGTGTGTGAAAGCCCTTCTCACTTTGTGCAGTTCTTAACCGTGTTTGTGTTAAATGATTTTATCAAAATACATTTTCGTTTATCTAAATACGTTTCGTTTATCAGAGTATGCTGGTTGTGAGTACAAAGTCCCAGCTGCACAGCCAGCGCTTTGAGCCATAGATGGTTATCTCAGTAACCAATGCACAGGAGACTCCGTGACCAACCATGGCACCACTTTAGTCTGCTGCTGATTGGTCACTGAACATCTGCCCTCAGGTTCATGGACATGCCAGGCGTGTGCTGTTGCTTCCTTGACTCCCAGTAATAAAGTCTTGTGATAGTTCACAAAATAACATAATTAAATATATATATAAAACATGTATTTACCGATCAAGATGAAAGACTAAAAAAAAAATTGTGACACTGGAAGTAGCATAGATGAACAGAAGAGACAGCTGCATGTGGTAACACTGCTGCCATTCAACAGATGCCAGCTGGAAGGCAGCGAGGCTGGGTGAAAGCGCAGTTACCGACGGAACCGAGGAAGGCGGGGTGTAGACGTCTGGGAGGAAGTGCCGCCCACCAGGACAGGAGGTCTTACTTGAGCTATTGCATGACGTTACAAATGTGAAAGTGTAGGTTGGAAGCTGACCCCATGTAGGGGAGTCTGAGAATGACTGCACAGGAAAATCATGCAGGCCCTCTGGGAGGCTGGGCAGCGCAGCCCGGTCAGAGGAGAGCAAGTGCTACTCAACCTGACTGCTATTTTTACAAAGAAATATAGCAATTTCCCTTCCAATGTTATAGATGTCAGTCTGCTGAACATTGGCTTTCCTTTCTGAATTCCTCTGTAAATGTGTTACTGACAGAGGAGTTAGTCCACGTTCAAGGTCCCAGAATAATCACCCTTCTCCCCATTGGTCAGAGTACCTTGCACAAGGCCAGCCTGACACTCCCTTTGACAGTCCCATGCCGCTATGGTTTGCCAGTAAAACTTCCTTATCCACGTGTCACTAGGAGTTTTTCAACATCCTCAAACACATGGAGACATTACTGACTATAACACAGTACAATAATACATGATTAACACATGCTTCTTGGTGTTCTTGAGAGTGGTTGGATGTCCCTGTATGCTCTGGAGCAGACGCTGTGGAATATGTAGTAACTATCATTTCTGTCGCCTGAACACATATGAATAAAACACCTTAGTTCTTGCTTTATGGAGAGACCCTGACTCTTTCCATGTAATTCTTCTGCAAGAGTTTTATGGAAACTTGAGGGTACATGCATTATTCACTCATTCAGCACATCCTTGTAGTCAGGCCAATTTATACCAATAGTTACTGTTATAAAGGTAAGGTAAAGCAAATCAAAAGGGAAACTATGCTTTGTGTGTATTTGTTTTCTTCTGACAGGGCTACCATAAAGCCTTGGTCAAACTGAAACTGAAAAAGAACACAGTGGATGACATTTCAGAGAGTCTGCGGCAAGGGGGAGGCAAGTTAAACTTTGACGAACTTCGACAAGACCTCAAAGGGTAAGAATCTGTTTCCTGAAGCCCTGAAAGAGTCCTCCTGCTAAGCATCCATTCTTGGAGAAAAAGGAATTTCTGACCCAAGTACTCCCAGAAAGACACTGCCATTTTCAGAGGCAGGTGTGTTGCTGGAACGTTGCATAGGAGGCATGTTGGCCCCATTCTGGGATTTCTCCTTTCCACCTTCATTTTGATGTGTCTATGTTTGGGTTGGGTCATGTACAGAAACAAGTCCATCTGGGTCCTCTCCATCCTTTCAGGAAAGGCCACACTGATGCAGAGATTGAGGCCATATTCACCAAGTATGACCAGGACGGAGACCAAGAACTGACTGAGCATGAACACCAGCAGATGAGAGATGACTTGGAGAAGGAGAGGGTGGGTATGGTTTAGTAGAGTCTGACTGACTCGGCCCCCACCGAGTGCCAGATGCTCTCACTGGTGGGCTGCTCAGAGTCCTCTGTGTATGTGCGTCTCTGCCTCTCTGGTTGATTCAGCACCCTACATATTTCTTCAAGGAAACAGTACTGTGTGAGACTAGAGCGAGTGCAGGTGGCCACTTCCTTATGGGAAGCCTATAACAATGGCTTCTAAATGCTGTTCCAGAGAGCAGGGTCAGTGGGTACAGACCAGACCCATCACAGTGAAATGCAAACACACATACACACAAACACATATACACATACAAGTGCTTCACAAGGCTGTGTTTGGTCACAATTTTTATATTAAGATTATTCTATCTCCTGACTTTGGAGCTCTTAAATGTTATCTTTTATGAAAAGAAGGTGAGAATGTAGCCTTTTATTGACTTTTTTTCTTTGCATTGTTGTGTTTGCAATATTCTTTCTTGTCCAAATGAGAAGTTGGCAACTTCTTGCTGCTTCTTAGGATCTGTTTTGGAAATTTGTCAGTCTGTGAAATTTAGAATTCTGGGAGACCCAGTGAGATGTTAACCATTAAGAAGTCCTAGGTACCTGGCAGACACCCATTTCATGCGTGCCCCGATCCATGGCAGAACTCCCTCAGAGTCTTGAGATTCCCACTCCTGGCTTACTGACTCTGTTCTTCAGGAGGACCTGGACTTGGATCACAGCTCGTTACCACGTCCCATGAGTAGCCGAAGTTTCCCGAGAAGTTTTGACGACTCTGAGGAGGACGATGACGAAGACAGTGGACACAGCTCCAGAAGGAGGGGCAGCATCTCCAGTGGGGTTTCCTATGAAGAGTTTCAAGTGTAAGTGTGGGTGACCTGGCAGCATTTGAGTTGACAAGAGTCCAAGTGAGACGCAGCACTTTCCTCTGTCTCTCTTAATTCACTCCTTTTCCACCACTGGTCATCAATTCTTTTTTTAAAAAAAACCCTACTTTTTTTTTTTTAAGAGATTGTCTTCATGATAGGAAAATTTGTAAATAAGGAAAGCGCTAACGTGTTCCCTATTCCTACCAACCCAAAATAGCTATTAATATTTTAGTTTCTGTGTGCATGTATGTATCAGTGATTTTATGTCCTGACATGAGCTCTATCCTGAAGAACGTCACATGTGCTCTTGGGAGGTATGTATATTCTGCTGTTGAGAATTCTGGTGATATTTGTTGGGTGGGGTTGATTTATAGTGTTACTCAAGTCTCCTGTTTCCATGTTGCTCTTCTGCCTAGCACTATCTATTTTTCAAAGTGGCAGACTTCAGTCTCTAATATTGTTATTTCTCCCTTCAATTTTATAAGAGTTTACTTACTGTATTGTGGAACTCTGTTTTTAGGTACATATGTAGTTACGTGTTGCTTAGTAACAAGGATAGGCTCTGTGAAATACATTAGGCAATTTTATCATTATACAAACTTAATAGAGTGTAATAACTAATTTGTATCACCTACTCTTTGCATAGTCTATACATTATAGCCTATGGATCCTTGATTATGAGCCCATACAGCTTCTTACTGCACTGAATAATGTAGGAAGTTATAACACACTGAGATGTTTGTATCTGTACATATTTAAATGTTAAAAAAAGGCTCAGTAAAAATACTTGTGAGTAGAAATTTTTAATTCCATTATAATCTTAAGAGACCACTGTCCTATATATAGCCACACTGTTAACCAAAGCCTCATCATTCAGCAGCTGACTAAAGGATCTCTTCCTTTTCAAAAACGCAGAAGAGGTTTATCTGTTTATTTGAAAGGTAGAGCAAAAGAGGGAAGGAGAGAGGAAAGAGTGAGCAAGAGAAGTAGAATCTTCCATTGGCTTGTTCATGCTCCAAACTGCCCCCTGACAGCTGGGCCTAGGTCAAGATAAAGCCAGGAGCCATGAACTCTATCATGGTCTCTCGAGTGAGTAGCAGGGGTCCAAGTACTTGGGCCATGTTCTCTTGCCTTCCCAGGAGCATCCACAGAGAGCTGAATAGGAAGCAGAACAGCAGATTCAAACTAGCAATTCAGTATGGGGTACCAGCATTGTAAGCACTGACTTCCCGCTCACTTTGGCTCTCCCAGGCTGGTGAGGCGCGTGGACCGGATGGAGCATTCAATCGGCAGCATCGTGTCCAAGATCGATGCGGTGATTGTGAAGCTGGAGACCATGGAGCGGGCCAAACTCAAGAGAAGGGAGGTGCTGGGCAGGCTGCTGGAAGGGGTGGTCGAGGTGAGAGGTCATGGGTGAGACCATGGGATGAGACCACGGGGTGGTCGAGATGAGAGGTCACAAGTGAGACCACAGGGTGGTTGAGATGATTGATTGAGGTGAGAGGTGGGGCCCATGTGCATCATTGACAAAACTATATGTTGATAGTCTTTTCTAAAATATTAACAGCTAGTAGTTATTCACAGTGCTGACTCCATGTAGGATCACTGTCACATTTTGTTTTTCTGAAACCCTTGAATGCTGTAGATCAAGTAATCGTGTATGTCCAGCCCTGACCCAGGGAGTAGTGACTCTTACATTCCACACGCTCACGCACCAATGGAACACTACTCATTGGGATTCTGAGAATTGCTATCATGTGCTGCAAATCTCTAACTGCTGATAAATTACTTAGGCCCTAGATTTCCTCAGGAAGTTTCTAGATGTGGGAGTATGCATACAAGAGTACACGTGACCATGCCTGTAACATCCTAGTATTTTGGTTTTGTTTTAATCCCTTGTAGAATGAAAGACTGGGTCGAAACACTGACGTCCACAGGGAACAGATGGAGCGGCTAGTTCGGGAGGAGTTGGAACGCTGGGAATCTGATGATGGAGCTTCCCAGGTCAGCCACGGTTTAGGCACACCAGTGGGACTTAGCGGTCAACCTCGCCCCAGAACCTCTCGCCCTTCTTCCTCCCAGTCTACAGAAGGTGTGGAAGGTGCTGATCCAAATGGGAACTCCAACATCCACATGTGATACGTGCCATAGGATCTGGGTGTGTCCCTCCCAGGAGAAGGCGGCTGTCCTGAAGTGCCATTCCTATTTATAGGCCCTGAACACCATTGATGCTGGTCTTGGCGACCGATTCTTAAACCTGCACTTTAATTTATTTTATGTAAACTTTACCAAAGGATCAAAGAAGATTTTTGTTTCTCTTGTGGGAGAAATTGAGGTGTAAATATTGAGTATAGGACAAACAAAATTCTCTGTAAAGTATGTTGAATGGTATTCCCAGTTGCTGCCATGACTGGGCCTCCTTAGTTGACAGTGAAGTAGCCGTAAAGCTACCGAAGAGCAGGCAGAGGGGCTTCTAAGAGTCCTTGCCAGCCACAACAGCAGTGTTGTGGGTTTTACCCAGGGCGGGAAGGGAAGGGGGGCATTCCTTCTCACTCAGGAGCAGCTCACAAGCTCCAGACCAAGCTTCCTTCCTAGAAAAGGAGTCTGTCATTCCAACGACCTTCCCGGAGTGAGCTTTTGCAAAAGCTGATCTGGAAGAGAACTGAACTGCAGAATGGGTGTGTGGTCATGATGCTGGCATTGGTGTGAATGGTGGAGAAACACATGGAGTCCTACATTTCTTTATTGTTCTATTAGATCTAATGTCCATGAACTGCATCACTTGCTTTTACGTCATTTTGCCTCTCCTTTGAAATGAGCTGAGGGAAAGCACCAAAGACCAATTATAAGATAAAGTGAATCCTAACTTTAGGATGACTGGAAGGAGCACTGGATTGTCACTGGGTTTGATTTTGTAAAAAATAATTTTCTTATCAAGATATATCCTATAGATTGCCTTTCCCATGTGGCTCAGCTCTCTGCAACTAAGCTTGATGTTATAATTGATCTGCAAAACAAACTTGCCAGCTTTCTGAATAGGCACCTCAAGCTTTAACTCAGCAGATGTGTGTATTATAAGCAAAATGTTACCCTTTTTTCCAAAATTCATAAATCATCGTAAGACTGACATTATAAGTTAATTCTCATAAGTTATTAAAAGAGATTTTGATGCTGCTGATTCATTTCTAATCGGAGGTCTTGGCCTAATGTCAGGTAGCAGCAGTTGTTTTCACAAAGAGAGGGTTTTGCCAGATTCATGAGGAAGTAGAGGAGAAAAACCTTGTTTTTCAGTGTTAAAGTGACATGACCATCTGAGTGCTAATGGGACGGGTAGGACAGAACACAGTGGCCATGAGTGATCCTCACCTCGAGAGCCCAGGGAAGAGAATCCTTTGTTTAATGATATATTTTACATTTGCACATGGTCCACTTGATTGGTAAAATGTTAAATTTCCAGTGGAAATACGAATAAATGGCCGCTTTTAATTTAGCTTCTATAAAAGTGAACTCTGTTGCATTTCCTTCATGAGTTCATCTCTTTCTTTCTTTTAAATATACTACACAGGTTCTTTATTAAGTACTTTGGTTTGCATTCCAGGGATAACTGAGTGTATGTATTTATGTGTGTGCCCCCTGTTGTTACATGTAAACAAACTTCAACTTGAAGTGCAGCTATATATGGTATCCATGTGTATCAACCAGGTGCCATATGCCAATTTTGGTCACCAGAAAGTCTTTCTTGACACTTATTATTAGACAATTTTTTATTTCACATGTATGTAAACATTTGTAGAATTCTTTATTTTTACCTGTAAGTTACATAAATTTTCCTTTAGTCATGAAGAATTTCCTCCTCATCCCTTTCCTATCAGCTCCCCTTTAATGTTGACATAATTATGAAGATGTTACACATGCAAGCAACTTTATCAGCAATCCAGAATTTCATAAACATGTAATACTACGCACTTTACTTTGCAATAAACACTTGATGAAACTTAGATAAAAGAGATGTCCGTTTCCTAAGGGTAAACTGTTGAGTCATGGGCCTCTTGTCACGGGACTAGTAGTAAAGGTGTCGACGTTGGAAAAACCGCTTTTTTTTTAATTAAAGATTTGCTTATTTTTATTGGAAAGGCAGATTTACAGAGAAAAAGAGATACAGAGAGAAAGATCTTTGATCTGCTGGTTCACTCCCCAATTAGCCACAAAGGCCGGAGCTGAGCCAGTCCGAAACCAGGAGCCAGGAGGTTCTTCCACATCTCCCATTTTTGCATTGCCCGAAACAGAAATGGACATATTTCTATATTTATCACACCAAATATTCATTTTAAACAATCTACAAGGATTGGGAGTATCTAGCCCATGGGCCATATAAAGCCTGCAAAATCATTTGGTCTGGCCCTGCCAAGACAACTGCAGATCAGATTCAACTCAGTAAATCTATAGTTAGCTAACTTTTAAGTTGAAAACTTTGTGTGGTTCACAAATGAGGTTATTAAAAAAAGGCCCTTGGCAGAAAAAAGTTCCCACCCCTGATTTAAAACAGGGATCTCCTGCATGTCTTATGATTTAGTTCCTTCATTAGAGCCTGAGACAAGGAAGCCAGGGCAGAGTTTATTCAGAAAGTGTAGGAGTCTGGGAAGACGGAGAAGGGGAGGTGTTACCAAGCTGGCTAATGCTATAGGCTACCAAGCTTGGTATCTGTGAAACTGAAAAACCATACAACGTGCAGTTCAGACTTCTGCACTTGAAGGGCGGGGCTTGGATGGGAAGGTTAGCATGGGAGGATGGTTGTAATTTCCAGGCACTTGCAATAGATCAGAACAGCCCTCACTGGCCTCTGAACAGGCCCACTGGCCAGAGCTGCAGATAGGCAGAAATGCACGAAGCACTGTAGCACACAGGCTCTGGGCAAGGTGCCCACAGCAGCTCTACAGAATCATATGAAGTCCATTTCCAGGGAATTCTGTCCCCTTAGCATACAATGGAGATGGTGCCCTTGGGAGTTGTGCCATGAGACTTTTCTGGTTCCTGGTTTTGGCCTGTGGAGTGAACCAGCAGAGTGAAGATAATCTCTCTCCCTAACTTTCTATTTCTTTTTCAAATAAATACATTCAGATTTGTGCATGGCTTTTTCCCTTCACATCATAAACATAGCAGGAAATCTTGATTTTATGGATGGCTACAGAGTAAAATAATACAAATTAATGCATATTTTTATATATGTCTATGAATTCATAATTTAGAAATTTGTAATTCATGTGAATTAACTAAAATATGCTAACCTCTTCCCTGGCACTGGACATTTAGACTACTCCAGTGTGACACTGTTATCTATAATGCTATGACTAAGACTTAGACATACCTGTTTTTCTCACTTATCTGGGGAGAATGTGTTGTTAGAGCTGCCATCTGCTGATTCACTCTTCAATGCACAAAGCACCACTCTGCCCCCTGGCCCACTGGGGCCAAGCCAGGAACCAGAACTCCATCTCAGTCTCCCATTCGGGCAGCAGGAATGCAGTACTTGAATCATGATCTCTACTTCCCAGGATCAGCATCAACAAGTAGCTTAAGTGAGTCCGAAACAGATACTGAACACACCCTAATCAGCTTTAACCACCAAGCCAAAAGCCTGCCCCATGCTCAACATCTGGAAATGAAATCATTAGGTTGGTCAGTATGAACATACAACCTTGACGGAAACTGCTAGACAGTTCTCCCAAACACTGTAACAAGCCAAGAAAAATTAGAATGCTGAGTGCCCATCTGCCCACCTTCCAGCACTTTTTACAAAATTATTCATTTCTACATGAATTTAAAAAGAAAACTGTGTATGCAAACGAACATACCACAGAACCTCTAATCCTCAGAAATTGCCTCACAGGGGAGGAAGATTTTTACAAGGACTTGTAGACTTAAAAATACATTCAGAACTTTAAGATGGAGATGTGTTAGGTGGATATAAGTTTAAGTTTCAATACAATCAAATATAGCCAACACTCAGAAATATCACAGACCACCACTACCCAGTGAAAGAAAAAAGCTTGTATCCCTCTTAACTATGTAAACAATATTTAAAAAAAAAATTAAAGGAAAAACAAAACCTTCAGTAAAAATGACCAACTTGCCAATTCAGTGAGTACAAGAGATATTCAAAACGTTTAGGAAAATATTCATGTAAGAAAGCTATGGCTGGATTTCAAAACTTTATATCAAAAAATATAAACTCTGGAGTATCCTCATAAAATCAGCATCAATTTTATAATCCTTTAAAGGTTTTTTTTTTTTTCATTATGAATCAATCTGTATTTTTTCCTCCTGAACTGCTGGTTCTTCTATCAATTAAAGGGAATATTTAACACTATAGGGAAATTACTGACTCAATGATGTAATTAAAATGATGCATGGCTTATTATCATAGAATATAAGTAGTGAAGGCCAGGGCATCTTACTGAACTGGCGTGCAGATTAAAGCATTGAATATACCAACTTTTCAGTATGAACCTATTAAACGGAGTAAATACTGAGAATATTTGGTCCTGTAAGCAGTATCTTGAAAACTATAAAATATATTCTATGAACAAGCAATCGTTAAAAGCTATCAAATAGGTTGAAAAACAAAACATCTTTGAGAAATGCATTGAAATGTACTGAAGGCAGCCAGTGTTCTCAGAAAAATCCAAATAAAAATGCCTAGGAACTTCAACCCTAGACATACTTAATGGCCATGGTTATGTTACTGCTGTCAAAATAAGCTTCATTATTTACCCTGGTCAGTGTCTCAGTTACTAAACAAATGTGAACATTGGAATCAAGTGAATACATGGTTACACATGTAAAGAAACATTTCCCCTCCATTGTCTGTTAGTTAAGACATTCAAGAAAATTAAATGTCAAAAATACATAGATAGCCCTAACTTTCTAGAAAATAAGATTTTCCACTTCACAGGAAAATCAACTCACACTTAAAAATGTTCCTTAATTTCTCAGCCATCAGCCAGGCTGAGATTTCCAAGCTTGCCTGGCAAGTTAGAATCAGTGATTATCCAAGATGTTTATGATAGGAAGAAAGGGTGAAAGGAAATGTTTAAAGTGATAAATCTCTTTACCACCAAAAGATTTCCAAAAGGCTATAATACAATATTTTACATATCGGGATATATTTAATACTTTTTTGGAAAAGATTGATTTATTTACTTGTAATTGCAGTGAAAGGAGAGGCAGATCTTTCCTTTGGTGTTCATTCCAGAAAGGCCACAGTGACTAAAGCCAGAAAAGCCAGGAACTCCATCTGGGTCTCCCTCATGGGTGACAGGGACCCAAATACTTAGCCATCTTCCATTGCTTTCCCAAATACATTAGCAGGGAGCTGGATCGGAGTGAGGCAGCCAAGACTCCAACCACTGCGTACATGGGATTTCAGAGTCATAGGCAGTGGCTTAACCTGATGCACCACAACTCTGATGCCAAACTTGGGTCCAGCACTGCAGGCAGCAAGTTAACCCACTGCTTGAGACACTAGCATCCTATGTTAGAGCACTGGCTGCTCCACTTTGAATCCAGTCCCCTGCTAAAGTGCCTGATAAGGCAGCAGAGGATACCCCCGCCACTCATGCCAGAAACCAGGAAGAAGTTCCTAGCTTCTGGCTGCCTCCTGGCACAGACTTGACTGTTGCAGCCCTTTGGGGAGTGAACCAGCAGATGGAAGTACACTCACACTCTATTTCTCTCACTCTCTCTGTGTATGTGTGTCTCCTTCTGTGTTACTCTGCCTTTCAAATAAACATTTTTTTAAAATGTGGATTTATTAAAAATGGTATCTCCATACATTTATTCTGTGTATAAAGTACAGGTATATATTCTCTATGTAATGAGAAAAATGTGTAGACAAGTCATTATGAACAAGCCATAGCTAAATAAAAAGCAAGAATTGTACTAAGAACAGGAATAACAGATTGAATTTAATGGTCACATAATCATCAGGAAATGTGATAATATAAGATCACACAGTAACCAAATGTCATGAAAAGGCCAAAAGTGCTCCTGAAGGATCAAAGATAAAGAAAGAATGCTGTGTCCAGGGACTGATGTTGCAAGACTATGACAAAGCACCACTTGGTAAGTTAAATGCTATTCTCAGGAAACCGCAATCACAGGGGTTCTGCACTCCACACAGGCAGGCTACATCCTAGTCATTCAACAGCTCACTTAATTGCAGTGAGACTACTGCACAGTATTTATTTTAAAAGGGAAGTAAGAAGCATTATCTCCTGAACTAAATTCTAGAAAAATAAAAGAATATGAGTAGAGGAGTAGGCATTCAGCACAATGATTAAGACACAGGCTGTGATGTTTGCATCTCTTACTGGAGTGCTGGATTTGACTCCTGGCTCCCAATTCCAGCTTCCTCCTAGTGCAAACCAGGGAGGCAATAATGTTGGCTTAAGTGGTTGGGTTCCTGGCCCCATCCGAGACTGTATCAGCACAGCCCAGTCTTGGCCGTTTCAGGCACTTTAGAGGTGACCCAGTGGATGGGAGCTCTGTCTGTCCCCCTTACAAATAGATAAATGTTAATAGGAAAGCAGTAAAATATGAATAGAGGGTGTGGTTTAATTAAGTCATGCACTGATGTTAATTTCTTAGCCTTGACAATGTACCCTGCTATATAAAATTATGACAGTGGAGACTAGACATAGAAACGTATCACACTATCTTTGTAGCTTTTTTGTAAATCTAAAAGTATTTAAAAAATAAGAGTTGATGAGGAGACTTAAGTATATTTCTGTACACAAAAGGAGACATAATGAGCTGCAGTGAAGTTCTGGTAACACCAGAGGAAAATCCAGGTATCACTTTGATTCCAAATGACCCTAGGCCCAGGAAGAGAAACAACAGAGAGAGGCCTGGGGTCTCCTGTGCACTTCTGGTCCACTTCATGACCAGGCTAGACAGCTGCACATGTGTGTTCATTATTCTCAGTCTGTTACCATTACATGGAAGGCTTTGAAAATACTTCCTATTAGTGATAAACATATTCCCACTCCTGCGGAAAATTAGGATGAAGGTAAAATAGAGAAATAAAATCAGGTATATAAGCAGGGACGAAAACATCAATGTAGGGACAGCCAGAACAATCATTAACGTCTATGTCTGAAGATTTCAGGCTGGAAATGATAACCCAGGAGTAGCTGACATCTTTAGAGGGGTGGGCCAACAGACTGAGATGTAGAACAACACAGGGCCCATACTTGTACTTTCAACAAAGCATACCAGATGACTCTAATGTAGACAGATGATATACCATCCAGGGAGGTCAAGCAACTTCCCAGAACCAGCATGTCGCAGGAATGGCACAAGAGTTAGAATTCTAGTCTCCTAATTCCACCAAATAGTCCAAAACCCCTAGCCAAGACTCTTGATCTACCATTATGTTATTACAGTAAAACAGCAGTAAGGTCTAACCTTAACACATGTACCAGACATCTGCTTTCTATTGTAACTGCTCCTCTGTCCTAGAAAAGGCACTGGTTTTTCCAACATGTTTCAGATTTCAAACTTTCACTACAACACTAATATATTTGTTATTTATTAGTTATAAACTGAGCATCCCAAGTCAAAGAGTGAATGAAAGAATGAAAGAAATAAACCCAAAAATGCTCCCCCATGCAAAGCTTTCTGTGCACCAATATGATGCCCAAATGCAAATTCCACACCAGACCTCATGATTGAGTTGTAGTCAAAACATAGGCACAATTAGAATACTCTAGAAAATTACCTTCAGGTCTAGGTCTGTAGGTGTAAAGAAAACATAAGTGAATTTTATTTTAGATTTGGATCCCTTGTCTAAAAATACACCATTATTTATAGCACGCACATTCAAAAATTCTAAAATCTGAAATACTTCCAGCCCCAAGCATTTTTTCTCAGGGATATTCAACCTGTACTAGCAGAGGAGAGATTCAGTACATAGTAAAACTGGAGGGCTATAATTGAACCTATTGACCTTTTAAAATGAGGAAGCTGTTATGAGAAACCTTAGTAACTTGTCTACACCTCTAGAACTGAATCCTTGTTTTCTTAAGTCAATAAATGAGACTACCTTTCCCAAAGCCACAGTCTGCAAGATAAACTGGTAGACAATGAGTAGCAACATCAGTTTTTATTCGGGTTCTTTTCACATGCAATTTTTTCCAGGAATGTTTTCTGTTGAAAATAATTGCTGCTGACCCCCAAAGAATAATGGCAACTCAGTAGATGACTGCCCCCCCACCCCCACCAGTAAATTTCACTGAATAATTAAAATACAGCAAATAGTTAAATGAAAAGATGACACATGGAAAGTTCCAGGGGGATTTATGAATATTTTTTAAGAAGTAACAATTTTATGTAGGCAATTGTGAGGAAGATAACCATCATGCAAGCCAAAGCCACATGATTCTGCCACAAATTCCAAGGTGAGATGCCAATGCCCTGCTGTGCCAGATGCTGTTCACCAGTGGTGCACCTGCCAAGTCAAGAGAATGACAGGGTTAAGTCCATGCCTAGCATCTGGTGAAGTCAATCATCCATTCACATTCCATAGTGAAAAAAGGAAGCCAAGTCTTTAATAGTTATCCCTCCACACAAAAGTATTTCCAAAAGGGGCAGGCACAATGATGTAGATGGTTAAGCTGTCTTTTACAATTCCCACATCCCATCAGAGTGCCCAGTTCAAGTCCTGGTACCTCCACTTTCCCTCCATCTTCCTGTTAACGCACGCCCTGGCAGGCAGCAGGGGATGGCCCCGAGTGTGTGGCTCTCTGCTGCCCACATCAGAGCCCCAAGTCAGGGTCTCAGGCTTTGACCTTGGCCTGACCTCAATGTTGGAGTCATCTGAGGAGTAGGACAGAAAATATTTCTGTCTCAAATAAAAACTCAAAGGAAAAAAAAAAAGCTTATGGCAAATGGCTTTAAAAGATAACTTTCGATGCAAAAATCTTTTGTAAGCCAGCATTGGACAGTGTACATTTCAGCTTCAAGACTTTACAGCATGTGCAGTCACCACGTTTAAGCCTGATGTGTAGCAGCTGGTAGTAGACTATGGTGGAGAGACCCTGTGACTGCCTAGTACTAAAACCACCTGCCATTGGCACCATCACTGTCTGGTACCACAGGCTGGGGCATCTCTTGGAATCCAGCAGCCCCCAAAACAACTGCAGCCTATCTCTACTCTAAGAACAGTGTCCTCCTTCATCTCAGCAGGGGGCCTTTATCAAAATACCAAAGCAGCTCTTCTCAATCTCAAACGTTCTCAAGGGTAAGAACTCAGGGCCCAATGTTGTGGCATAGCAAATGAACCTGCTACCTACAGTGCCAGCATTGGCTCCACTTCCACTCAAGCTCCTTGATAATGGCCTGGAAAAGCAGCAAATGGTGGCCCAACTATTTGGATCCCAAATGGGAAGAAGTTCCTAGCTCTTGTCTGGCCCAACCACAGCTATAGCAGCCATTTGGAGAATAAACCAAGAGATGAAGATCTTCCTCTCTGTATGTCTCCCTCTCTTTGTAACTCTACCTTTCAAACAGATTGTCAACAGGAGCCTTTAAAAGGGCTGAAGCAAACAAGCTACATGTAGGAAACATTTCCGCATATTAAACACATTTTGGCTCAGGTAGAATACTGAGGAGAGGTATACCATGTTCAAGTGCGCTAGTGCACAACTCACTTCATGGAGGAGAAACTCAGGTTCAGCTTTAAGTTGCTCTATCTTACACCACAGTACGAAGCCAGCTCATTGTGACACTGAATGCAAACTTACGTATTATTTCCTCCACAGAAGGTCTGTCCCAAGAATTCATTATACTGCAAAGCCTGTAACACAAGGTAGAACAGGGTAAGGCCAGTAGTTCTAAATTTTAAAAAGTTTCCAAAGAATCATCACAACGTGTATTCTTAATTTAATCTTTATTACTATTTCTACAAACATACCCAGTCTCACATTCATGGTGTTTCTAACACTAAAGCAGTTATTTTCTCTGGCCATGAAGAAGTACAGGGTGGGCTTTTTTTGGTTTTCTCCAATACAAGGATGCAAATATTTGGCTAAGAGTAGGGAACTCTGGCTGTACTGCCTGACAGCATTCTCCTCTCAAATTTATAATTTTATATTATTTTATTCATTTATTAATTTGCTATTCTTGCCTGTTTTTATCAAATCCAGTAGGAATCCTTGGGAGTCAGAAACTCAGTTATACTACATTAAGAGAATAATTTTCTTTAGCTAAAGCTTTTATGAGGCTGATATATTCTTTCTCTTTTAATATGAACTACCTATTGTAGTCTACCACCTTCCTATTTATTGGCTTACTGCACTGAACTACAACAGTATGTTTTTCATCAATTACTCTACCCTCTTTAAGGGGAGGTATCTTCCCACCCTTATCTCTCCCAAATACCAAGATGACTGGAGAAAACCTCTAATGACACCCTGGTTATGCGCTAAAGACAGCTGTCACAAAATTCCCTTTCATTGCTCCTAAAATGAAACTCCCAGATGGGAGACTTTCACAGCTCATGGCTATATTTTGGTTGTCCCTGGCTTGGGCGCCCAATCACCATGTCAGCCAAGGGTAACTTACGGTATAGCCGTATCGAGGGATGCTGAAGTACTGAAGCCAAGACAGCCAGGCTGCAATGGTTTTGAGATTTACCAACAGGCCTGAGAAAAGCTGCAGAAAGAAAACACCAAGAGTTAAAACTGGTCAGGTGATTTCATGAAGAATTCTAGAAGTCTTCAAGTCACCTTCCACATTCTAAGTATTTCTGCTAATCCCAACTCATCCTGATAGAAAATCTTTCCATTTTCTAAACACTTACTAAATTTCCATTACATTTGCATACTTCTATGTTTCTGAAGTTGTTTATGGCTTTCAACCAAGGACAATACACCTGTAATCTATAGCATATATCCTATATCCTATTTGCTTTGAAGATCTTTAACTGCCCAGACTGTTTGAACCTTTTTTTGGTAATTGCTCACAACAGGTCAAGAAGGACCGCTTCCCTTCAGTATCCACAAAGGGGGCTGGTTTTAGGACATGTCCTACCCTCACTTTCACACAGATGTCAGAATCCATAGATGCTCAAGTTCCTTAATTACAATAGTCTACTCTTTACATACCATCCAAATCAACCCATTGTACTTTATGCACATACATGTTAAATATTTTAAATGGTTTCTAGAATTCTTGCAATGCTTAACACAATCCAATTATATAAATGCCTCCATATTTAGTTAAACAAGCAACATCTTCCCTAAATGTTTTCAATCCACAGTTGGTTACACCCCTGCACATGGAACACCAACTACACTGATAATCCTCATGACAGATCTGCTGCTGTGTGTCCTGCCACAAACCTGGCCATTTAAGCACAGACCCCCCCACCCCCCGCCCAGAACAGTCCTGAGCACTGTATGTCCCTCTGTAGCTACTTCCACACCAGAGAAAGATGATATCCACAAGGGTCTGCCATCGGGTACCACGTGACTTTAGGAATCACCTGGGGTCCAGAATGCATGCTCAAAATAACACAAAGCCTAGATGTGATTTGAAATGCAGCACAAAATGGTCAACAGCTTCACCTAAAGCCACCAAAAAGCCATGAAGTATGCAGAAAAGAAAGTTATGGAGTCCACGTAAACAGGTAAACTTGTCCTTATGCCAAAGAAGGATAATAAGGCAATATAAAGGGTTATTTCAAAAACCTTACAGGAAGTGGAGTTGAGACACATGAGAGCACCTGGGTCCCAGATCCAGCTCTGCTCCTGAATCCAGCCGCCTGCTAGTGTACCCGCAGAGACAAAAGGTGATGCTCAGGTTAAGTGGGCAGGTCCCTACCACTCACATAGGAGCCGTGGGTAAGCTCCCAGATCTGGTCTCAGCTTGGCCTAGCCCCACAGAGGACCAGTGGATGAGATCTCACGCAGTCTCTCAACTAAAATTTGTTTTTAATTTAAAAAAAAAATAAAAGACATTCATTTTGGTACAAACATTTTTGAAATGTATGTACCAGAGGGGATTTCTAAAAAAGTTAATAAAAGATGCATATTACCTACATGACTGCAAAATTGAGGGGCATGTAAAATTAGGACTACTTCACCATGAAAAAGAGAAGATAAGCTGAATATGCTGATATATTGATATACTGATATGAAAGATTTTTAGCCATCCAGAAAGGAGGCAACCTAGTACTGTAGACTTTGGAATTTCCAGTATTTTGGAAAGATCACTTTTTATTTATTTATTTATTTATGTTTTGATTACAAAGTCAGATATACATAGAGGAGGAGAGACAGAGAGGAAGATCTTCACTTTTTAGATTAGAAGAGGAAACTCCTCATGGGACTTACTATCCTCGCAATCCAAACTTCGCCTCCATTGGCCAGTCAGCAGCTCTCTAACACAAGCTGCATGTCAGGCAAGTAGCCTGTCCAGTCTAACTCCTCATTTTCAGAGTTCTAACTTACCAAAGTTCCATAATAGGTAACCAAGAAAGTGTCTTTTAAAAGCTCATTAGTGACTGTGTGGAAACAGTGGCAAATGAGGATGGAGAAGATTCGGAAGAGGAGGAAATCAGATGCATTCTCTTCAAGCCTCACAGCCCCATTTACAAAATCCCCTCTGGCAGGTTCACACAGCTGGTGGATGGGCAGGGAGAAGCCCAGGTCACACACACTTACCATCATGAACACGAACGAGATGGTCATGAGCAGCGTGGCCACGGACACCACACTCTGGCCCGCTGCTATGGCCAGTGCCATAGAGCTGGCCGTATAGGCCACCATCATAAGGGTAAACATCATGATGAAGAAAGCTGCCGCCGTCGGTTTCAACCCTTGTTCAGAGAGAAAACAAGAGGTCAACCCAACTTCCCAGGCACCATGAATTTGGGTTTGCTTATTGTGTAAATAATGACATAATATTTTCAGAAAACAGGAAATAGCCATCTACTATCCAACTATCTTGGGTCACCACTTTCATTGCTTCTCTCCTTATAACTAACTGCATAGTCACCATACAGTTTTATTTTTTTATCCTTAACTACATCAGCACATTTGTCTTACATTATGTATGCTTTTGTATTTAGTTTCTGAATTTCTGACCTGAGGAGCCTCAGATAACACAACTGTCCATAATTCTTCTGCTTTCTTTTCTTGTATGAAACTCACAAATAATCATATTCATTTATTCAGAAATTACCACAAGGCTCATTGCTGCTGCAACTACATGAGTGAACAAATTGTGACAATCAGGGCTGCATGAACTCTCATTGCTTTTTCTGCCTAATAGCCCCTAGACAAATCACCATGTAACACTGGAATTGAAAACAAATGACGCTACATCAAGTTACATAAAATGTATTTCACAGGAGGCTAATCCTCTACCTGTGGCACCAGTATCCCACATGGGTGCTGGTTCAAGCCAGACTACTCCACTTCCAACCTAGCTCCCTGCTAATGCCATGGAAACAACAAAGGATGGCCCAGGATCTTGGGTACTTGAACCCATGTGGGAGACCCAGAAGATCCTGGCTCCTGGTTTTGGATCAGCTCAGCTGTGGTCATTGTAGCCACTTGCAGAAAGAACTAGGAGACAGAAGATCACCTGCTCCCTCTCTTTTTCAGTAACTCTGGCTTTCAAGTAAAAAAATACATACATATGTATGTGTATGTATATATATACACATGTATACACATATATATATATACATGTATGTAGAGATATATATAAATGTGTTTGTGTGTGTATATAAACTATATTAAGCCAATACTGCAAGTCAGACAGTCTGGGAAATTCAGAATAGCTGTAAAAATATCAATCAGGAATCCAGGTGTCAAGATCTTATGCCTAATTCTTTATACTAGACCTATCATGGTACAATGGAAGGTTTAAATTTAACTAGGGGTTCTCATTCTGTGCTATCATGCCAAAAAACTGTGTGTGTGTGTGTGTGTGTGTGTGTGTGTGTGTGTGTGTGTGTGTGTGTGTGTGTGTGTGTGTGTGTGTGTGTGAGACAGAGAGAGAGAGAAATCAATCCATGGACATTCTGATGCACAGAACTGGGCAGAATGCACAGATGAAGTTTCCCCCCATGTACCTAACAGGACACTGTTAAGCTCCTCCAGCAGTCTCTCTCTCACATGCATTTACAAGTCCTTCCACACCTGGGTCTGACACGTAGCCGACCTCACGGAAACGCGGCTTTAAAAACAGCTCTACACGCTGGGTGGAGGAGAAAGCCTTGACAGAAAATGTCAAAGGCCAAAGGCTGTTTTAGAGTGTGTATTACACAGGCTGACACTTCCCCATCCCAGGGCACAGTCTGGTAATTCCGAGAACTAAAACCCACTTGCACAGTGAAACTGGCTGCCCTGCCCACTCAAGATGTGAAGACTCACCCCTCTTGCTCGTTACTTACCTAGCATGAAGTATGTTATACAGGTAAATAAAATACTGGGCAACATCCGCATGGGTAGCAAATCAGAAAACAGCTTTCCAAAGAAATAAGCAGATACTCGGTAGTACCCACTAATGTATTCATGCCTATGGAAGAGAAAGAGAGGGTGCAGCCAAGATTGGACGGGGCACAGGGCAATGAGACTGTGTCACTTGGGGATGGCACTGTTTGCAATACCATCATCCTGCACAGGAATGCCAGTTCCTATCCCTGGGGCCCCATTTCTGATCCAGCTCCCTGCTGATGCGCTTGGGAAAGCAGCAGCCCATGGACCAAGTACTTGGCTCCCTGTCACCGAGGTGGGATGCCAGGATGGAGTTCCTGTCTCCTGGCTTCAGCCTGTCCAGACTACTCAGTTGTGACCATTTGGAGACTGAAATAACATATACAAGTTCCTTCTCTGCCCCTCCCTCTCTTTTGCTTCTTCTCTATTCTGCCTTTCACATAAATCTCTTAAAAACAACAGCAGCCAAAGCTTCTAACTTAATTGAGCATGCCTTTCAACCATATATCCCTGTCCATTATCAAATCCTAATCTTTGGGACCAGCACAATGGCTCACTTGGCCAATTCTCACCTTACATGTGCCGGGATCCCATATGGATACCGGTTCATACCCCAGCTGCTCCACTTCCTATCCAGCTCCCTGCCCATGGCCTGGAAAAGCAGCAGTGGATGCCCCAAAGCCTTGGGACCCTGTACCCATGTAGGAGACCCAGAGGAGGCTCTTGGCTCCTGACTTCAGACTGACTCAGCTTCAGCCATTGCGGCCATTTGGGAGTAGCCAGCAGAAGGAAAATCTTTGTCTCTCCTTCTCTGCATGGGCCTGCCTTTCCAATAAAAATAAATAAATCTTTTTTTTTTAAATATCTTAACCTTGACTCTTCCTGACAACTTTCTGCTTACTTCTGAATTTTAAAAATCAAGAACAGAACAACAAAGGAAAACACTGGTTAATCCCCAGGATCCCATCCTCAGCCCCATTCCAGAGGTGACCAGCTAGCCTGATGGCCACCACGGGTACCCCAACCCACATGACAGCTCTACTCACATGAAGAGCTTCTTTTCTACCACAAAGAGCTCCACGGCCGACACGCTGCTGAAACACTGGTTGGTGGTGAGGAAGAAGAGCACTCCAGCTCTGCCATAAGAAGGAAACATACACAGAACAGTCAACTCCACACCCACAGGGCAGCCCACCCACACACCCTGCTCAGTAAGTGCCACCTTACAGCTCTAAACTGCCCTGGCTATAAGAAAGAGGAGAGGGTGGGTATTTGGTTCGGCAGGGAAGATGCTGCGTGGGACACCCACATCTCCCATCAGAGCCCTGGGTTTGAGTCCTCTAACTCCCACCAGTGTGCACTCTGACAGGTAACAGAGGATGCCTCCAGTAGTTGAGTCCCTGGCACCCACGTACTGGAGGTCTGGACTGAGTTCCAGCTGCCTGGTTTTGGCCTGGCCTGGCTTGTGAGGATAAACCTGTGTGTCTGTCTTTCTTTCAAATAGGAAAGACATGAAGGAAAGAAAGGTTAAGAAGAAAAGGAAAATAGCTCATAGGCTGAATAAATATTTTTTAATACTTAAAGAATAATAGTGGAGGATGTTTTAAAAGTAAATGTTTATACACCTACTGAAGGAATGGAAAACAGCCAGGCCCAGTAGACAAACAAATAACTTCCCACACAAAAATGAACCTAGTAATATCAAGTTAAAATCTCATTTCAAAAGCATGGGACACAGCAAAGTTGTTGTCATTTATCTATCAGGGACATTCATGCTCATAGTTTTGAAAAAGCAGAGATTGAAGTTCCTTCTGAAGCACAAGATGAGCTTACACTAGGTGGGGCTTTTGGGTATAGAATGCAATGCATTTTAATTCTTGTCAAGATGGCAATCCACCAGTGCCACACTTGCTTATTGATCTCACCTCTGGATTGTACATTACTCTTTACTGAAGCTCACACCTGTGCAGTCCCCGAGGCTCTGTTCACTGGCCATCAACGCCCTCATCCCTCCACCCCGGACTCCTGCAATCACCGCACTACCGTCCTGAGACTGACTGTTCTAGAGGCTCCACTAGCAATATTTGTCTTTTCATGCCTCCCTTGATTCCACTTAATTCCACTAAGCATAATGTTCTCCGACTCAATGCGGGCTATCCCAAATTACAATAATTACAAGTTATGGCTGAATTCAACATGTGGATGTTTTTATGTACCACATTCTCTTTATCCATCCGTCTGTTAACAAGTAGGCTGCTTCCGTAGCTTACCTTTTGTGAACATTGCCACAGTGAATATGGGAGTGCAGATGACTCTTGGGCAAAATGACTGCACATCATTAGAGTAAATGCTCAGAGATTATCGGACACAAAGAATATTCTTTGAAAAATATCTCTTCCTTTAACATAAGCTAATCTATTTCTCCAGCACCACAAATCTGGAGGGACCATGAGATCAGAGAAGCATATACATAGTTTATATATGATTAAAACCCAGTTTCTCTGGTTAAAGAGCAGCGGGAGTGTTAATCTCTCTGGACTAACTCGTCCCCAATTTTGAGCCACTGTGAGTGACAAAATACCGATCTTCAACCCTAAACAAAACCTTGAGAACCTGGGTTCAGACATGACCCTGAAACATGTTTTTTCTAATGAAAAGAATTAATCACTAATCACTCCAGAAGTGATTACAGAAAAATACACACAGGCCTCTTTCACAGTCCAAATTCTTATTTTAAAATGGCAGTGGGGAGCCCAGTGCAGTGGCCTAGCGGCTAAAGTCCTCGCCTTGAATACGCCAGGATCCCATATGGGGGCCGGTTCTAATCCCGGCAGCTCCACTCCCCATCCAGCTCCCTGCTTGTGGCCTGGGAAAGCAGTTGAGGATGGCCCAAAGCTTTGGGACCCTGCACCTGTGTGGGAGACCTGAAGGACATTCCTGGCTCCTGGCTTCAGATCGGCACAGCACTGGCCATTGTAGTCACTTAGGGGGTGAATCATCAGATGGAAGATCTTCCTCTCTGTCTGCCCTCCTCTCTGTATATCTGACTTTGCAATAAAAATAAACAAAATCTTTTTAAAAAATGGCAGTGGTTAGGATGTCAGATGGAGACACCTGGAAACCATATCAGGAGTACCTGTGTTCTGTTCGCAGCCGCACTGCTGAGCCCAGCTTTCACAAAGGTACACCTGAGAGATAACAGGTGATGGCTCAAGCACATTCACCCACAACTGGGTTCTCAGCTCCTGGCTTTGATCTGGCCAACTGAGCTTAGCAGTTTAACTACTACTTGCAACACTGGCATCTCATGCGGGCATCAGTTTAAGCCCAGGCTGCTCCACTTTTAATCCAGCTACCTAATGATACTCCTGGGAAAGCAAGGAAAAATGATCCAATTGCATGAGCTACTGCCATTCATGTGGAAGACACAGATATAATCTCAAGCTCCTGGCTTTGGCCTAGCAAAGCCCCAGCCATCATAGCCATTTGGGGAGTGAACTAGCAGATGGAAGATCTCTGTCTGTGTGTGTGTGTGTCATTCTGTATGTCAAATAAGTAAGTAAATCTTTTAAGAAAATTAAAAAAAAAAAAAACAACAGAAAATGGTATGTAGGATGGAAGTTCCTCTAGCACTTCCTAGAGTACCTCCATGTTCCAGCAAGTCTAATTCTAGATATTCACCCAAAGAACTAAAATCAGGAAATCAAACAGTTATGGATATACTCTTGGTAGCATTATTCACAAAGCCAAAAGGTGGAAACAACCCAAGTGTCCATCAACGACTGAATAGGTAGTGAGTCTGTGATTTGCACATATGAAGGAGTATTACCCAACTCTGAAAAACTTAGATAAACTCTGGAGACATTATATCAAGGGAAGTAATCCGGTCATCATGGGATTCCACATATGTGTGGCTCCTCGAGTTGTCAAACTCAGAGGCACAAAGTAGGACGCTGGTTGTTAGAGGTGGAGAGAGGTACATATGGGAGCTGTTGCTTGATAGGTATGGGATTTCCACTTTGACAGATGAAAGAAATTCCTGGAAGCAAGTGGCAATGGTGGTTGCATAACAAGATAAATGTATTTATTGGCTCTGAACTGTACATTTAGATCTGGCTGAAAGTGTCAAATTCAGGTTCAGGTATTGTATATTTCATCACTCATTATATATATACATGTGTATCTGGCAAAGCAAAATCCAGTGACTCACCTTACTCTCATTTTTTTAAGTGACATCTATCTGCACTTCTCTTCAATTCAAATTCTTAATGCACTTTCATAAGCTTACACAAAGTAACAGCATATTCTAAAAATCCAGGTTCCAAACTGACTTACCTGTTCTGGATTCCAGCATTATCACTGGGTAGCCGAAAGTAAATGGCGCCTATAATCAATGCCAGTATTATTGTGACAATTATCTTTTCAAAAAGAAAAATGAAAATAAAAAGTTTCAGTTAAAGGTAAAAATGTACATAAATCATCCATTATTCTAGCATATATACAACTACATACTCATATCCCTGCAACAAGTCAAACTCTGTGATGTGGGCCCTAGTCCTTAGCAGGATGTAACCCAGGGAACATGAAACTTCTCCCTAAATTAAATGCATTGTCTGGTTTGGGGAACATACAGGATGACAAAGCAGAGAAGCAAAGACCCTCCCAAGGTTCTACTTTCAGGGGCTGAAACATAGTCCGGGGTACCATGACCCAAAATGAACTCTCAACCTTTCAGCTGGGGAACATGCCCTGTTTTATAATTCTGGAAGCTCAGGGGAAAACAGGATGTTCTTATTCTTAACACTGAAAATAAATACAAGTTTCCAAACACACAATCCTCAAACTCTAACAATGGCTTTTACATCACAGAGAAGTAGGCGTGCGCTGAAGTCTGCCCATGCTAGCTGGGAGTTGGGGGGTGACGGGCCCGCCCTGGAGAAGTGCACGGTCATCATCACCGCAGCACCAGCCAGCTTTCTCCAGGGACACACAGGACTTTCCACGGCCACTCCCTGGCACTCTGCTCCACTGACCTCATCCCACAAGACCAACAGGCCATGCTACACACCGAGGCTGTCAAACCTTGGGCATCCTGACCCACCTTCACCTGCCCAATCTGTGTGGACAGTTTTAAGGAGACTGAACAAACATGACTTCTGCTTTTAGGATTAAGAGTCTTTTATAAGGCCACTTTCATATATAGTATAATCAATCAGAGACATGGCTGGTGTGGAGCAAACCCAACTGGGAAAACAAAGAGCACTGTGGCTTGGGAACTGTGAGGATCACAGTCTGCAAAAACAAAAAAATCCATTTAAATGCCTCCCTTATGGAGATGCCCTTAAAAACTCCTTCGCTAATAAGACAGGTATCTAGAACTCCATTGCCTGCCACACGTTCATTATCTTCAGAATACACTCCTCTTCTTTTCAGTAGTTTAAGCTTCCCAAATAAACATCGATGACCCTATTAACAGACAGGCATATCCAGGTATACAAGAGTCTTTACTGTCACACAGTACAACCTTGTATTTTATTATTTGAAAGGCAAAGAAATAGGGAAAGAGAGCTATCAGCCATTCACTCATTGTTCACTCCCCTAAATGGTCGCAATAGCCAGGGTTGGTCCAAGCCAAAGCTCAGAACCTAGACCGTGAAGCCCATCTCTTACAATGCCAGCAACCCCAGTATTTGAGCCATCACTTGCTTCCTTCCAGGGTGCCCGTCAGCAGGATGCTGGAATGGAGAGCAGAGCTGTGTCATGAACCCAGGCACTGCAATATAGGATATGATCATCCTAAATGACATCTTAAGAACAATGTGTAAGATTACCCAGCCTTTTCAAACTTGTCACTCGCATAACTTTGCTTCTTTTGCACTCAAAACTGCAGATCTTAGATTAACACTGTGAATATTATCATTGGGAAGTTTTCTCTAACAGTTTTAAAGTTCTAAAAGTATTGTTAAACTCAGTTTTCAAATAGATTGGCAAAAACAATATCATAATTGTGCCACATATATATAATGTGTGCCTGTGTTATTCTTTCTTACATGAAGAAAAATAAACAGGCAAACTAACAATTGCACAATGGAGCAGATGACCCCTCTATGACTCCCATACATCTGCTCTCTGGCTTCTGTTGTTTTTGAAAAAAAAAAATTTTTTTTTTTTTTACAGATTTTGTACAGTTCCAAGAGAACAACCTTACTTCCCTCACTCCCTCTGGCTTACCATTTAAATAGAAGGTACAAATATTTACATGTATTTAGCCAACATTTCTGAAGGTATGTTCTGAGGATGTTTATGACTGTCACTTAAAAAGTAATAATGATCCATAGTCAAATACTTAATATACTCCAAGAAACAATGTGTCTGCAAGAGATTAATGTTGATGGGTTCCATGGATTTGACCAGGAAACCCTCCAAGTGTGAAGTAAACATTAATTCTTTTTATACAAGGGCAGGCATTTGGTACAGTGGTCAAAATACGACTTTGGCCACCTGATTCCCATATCCCAGAGGTCAAGTCCTGGCTCTCTTTCCCCAACCTAGCGTCCTACTAATTCCCATCCTAGGAGGCATAAGGTTCAAGTACTTGGGTCCCTGGCACCTACTCAGGGAACTCAGACTGAGTTCCAGACTCCTAGGGTCCAGCCCTAACTGCTGCATTTGGGACTAGCAGATATATTTCTCTCTCTCTTTCTTTTTTCTCTTTCTTTCTTTTTTCTCTTTCTTTCTTTCTTTCTTTCTTTCTTTCTTTCTTTCTTTTTTTCTTTCTTTCTTTCTTTCTTTCTTTCTTTCTTTCCTTCCTTCCTTCCTTCCTTCCTTCCTTCCTTCTTTCTTTCCTTCCTTCCTTCCTTTCTCTCTCTCTCTCCCTCTCTCCCTCCCTTCCTCCCTCTCTCTCTCTCTCTTTCTCTGCCTCTCTCTCTCACTCTCTGCCTTTCAAATAAAATTCAACATTTTGTAATGAATTTTTAAAAATCATCTTAAACAGATAGTCCACCATTCCGAGATCTTCCTCACAACAACATTTAGTTGGAGGCCAGGTCTAAACCATGTAAATAAATAATCCCAAAGAGAGTACAGCTATAAACAATACACACAATACTTCTCAGCAGGGAGCCACTGAACATTTCAACAATACTATGTTCAAAAACTTGGGAGAAGTAAAAAGCCTACAAGATTAGAAACAATCAGCCTTAAGTCAAGTAGGGCTGGCCTCCACGAGCTGAGGATGGTGTTCATTTGTTTTTTAATGGATTTGGGGAGTAAGTCACGAATTCTATTCCTCACAACACAAAATTTAGATGAATTTCGGTGTCTGAGAATAAGGTTGTGCTGGAACACAACATATTTATTCATTTAAGTATTAGCTCTGTTGTTTACAAGCTAATGTGGCAGTGTTGACTATCAGACACCACACTGCCCATGAAACTGAAAACCTGTCCCATTCCTCAGCTAACACTCCAACATTTACATATCTGAACAAGAGCTGTCCCAGCCCTGGCTGCTGCAAGCATTAGGGGAGTGAACTAGTAGACACATGACCCCTAGCTCTAGCTCTGGTACTCTGCTTTTCAAATAAATACATATGCCATGTTAAGAGGAGAGCAAGTTTCCTTCCATGTAAGAAAACTGTAATGCCTAAATTGCTAAAGAATTGACCCATTCCATCATCTCACTGTTGATCAATGGGGTAACACAGATGGATCTCTCTCAACAGACTTATTGCCAAGTGACATAAAAACAAATCCCAAAGAACAAGACAGGTTTTGAATGATAAAAGTGACACATTCTGACAAAAATGCCAAATCATGTGCCAGAAACACCTGAGGCAAGGAGTCGACTGACTCAAATAAGAACACAGGCTACCAAGTCGAAGGAGACAATACTTAAACATGAAAATCAGAAAATTCATGGTTCACATTAAAGAAGTCAGTAATGTTTCCTTAGAGCCCACAACATGGCACTCAACAAAAGACTTAACGACTGATCATATAAATAACCCAAAGCACACAAGTTAACTGATTTCCTGAAAAGTAGCACACTCAGAGCCTGGGAGTATAGACAGTGTTGGGACAGAATGAAGGACAAGAGTAAAACCACAAAGGCTAACGCTCAACAAGAACCATGGAACCAAAAGAGAGAAAGAACACTATCTCCCTGCAGTTACCAGAAAGTTCATCTGACAAAGAACAGCCTGATTTTGTGTCACTTAAGTTTGCTTCCCACTTGGTGAAGATTAGAATCCCTAAAACAGGGTCAGGGGAGTCAGCTAAAAGGAAGAGTGGTTTATACGCAGGCTCATCCCCAGCCAGTGGACAGCCCATCCCACCTGCAAGTGCATTCAGTGAGCCAGCAAAACTTTAGCTCCACAAAAGCAGATGCTAGTTGTTGCCCATTTTGTTCACCATTGTAGCAGTCATCCAACTTTAACACATGACCTGAGTTGGACTTGATGGATAATCCAGGGAATGAAAGTGGAGAGTTACTAGAAAACCCAAATGTGACCTGCAGTTCTTTACATTTGAGTGGCAGGGGATTTCTACTAAGAGTCCATTAGAGCTTGTCTAAGAAACCAAAATACTAAATTAGAGTTTAAGGAACCATTAAAAAAACAAAAAAACCACTTCCCAGGCCTGGCATTGTGCCCTACTGGGTGAAACTACTGCCTGAGATGTTGGCATCCCATCTTGGTAGAGCTTCAAATCCCATTTCTGATCCAGCTTCCTACTAACGTGCCTTGGAAAAGCAGCAAATGATGGCCCATGTGACTGAGACCCTGTTATCCTTATAGAAGAACCAGATAAAGCTCTGGCTTCTGGATATTTGGGAAATGAATCAGCAGATGGAAGATGTCCCTCTATCTCTCTGTAATTCTGACTTTCTAATATATAATTAATCTTAAAAAAAAAAGAATTTGCCATAAGTAACTTAAGTGTTTTCCTTGTTCTATGGACCGTTCCTATATCCAAAAGGGTACGAGAATAACAAACAAAAGTATGGGTAGAACATGCACATGGTCTGAAGTAGATTATTATCAAAACCAAGCTCTCCCCATGTGAGTATCTCACACAGCACAACTGGAAGAGCCCATCCAGTTACCTGAGCTATGGAGGCCTGGGGATTACCCAGCAGATTTTTGAATGAACGCCGGGCAATCCATCTGAGCTGATGACAGAAGGAGGTGACATAAGCGATGTCTGTGAAGGCGGCGTTCTTCTTCTTTTTCTGAGTGCATGAGAACTGATCTAATTCCGCTTTTGTTTGTCTGTAGAAAGAGGAGTTGGTGTAAAACTCGGCTAACGTATCTATGAGTGGCCTCTCTCTCTTGGAAGGCTCTTCAATCTTCTTGGCTTTAGAATAAAAGTAAACAAAGACAGGAATCATAATTAACAAAATAACAACTGATGAAGCCCATTTCCCTCTGGCCCCTATCCTGGATTCTCACAACACTGGAATCCTAAAGCTTGAGTAGAAAACATTCCTGGCTCTGTCGTTTTACATGTTAGTGAAACACAAATTACTTCACCTAATGCCACAATCTTTTGCATATAGCCAACTTAACTTCAATTTTTGGAACTGCATTCTTTTAAAACAGATGGCTTACCATACAGAAATACAATTCTTGGTCTAATTGTTTAAAATTCACTTTCACTTATCTGAAAGGCAGAATGAGGGAGCAAGATCTCCCAGCTGCTTCTTTTCCACCTCAACAGTCAGGACTGAGCTAAGCAGCAGCTAAAGAGTCCAGAAATTGACACAAGATTACCACCTAGGCAGCAGGGGCCTAGCTACAGGAACCATCACCTGCTCCCTCCGGGGGTGTGCATAACCAGGAAGCTGGAAATGCAAGCAGAGCTGGGAGTTGAGCACACATGCTCCCATAAGGGTTGAGGTATCTCAGGAAGCTTCTTAACCCCAATGCCAAAAGCTTACCCCAGAGATGTAATTCTTAATATAAACATCTAGTCCTCCCTGTCTACTATGTACAAATCCATCAAGTGCCAAATTTCTTTTTTTTACACACCGTATAACAGTGAGGATTCCTAACTGCCTCTCCCCTTAGAACTGACCTAATATTAATGTTCATGTGATAATTAAACTCGTAGCTGGCATTGTGGCGTTGTAAAACTAAGCCTCAGCTTGCAGCATCAGCATCCCATTTGGGCTCCAGATGTGTGCTGACTGTTCCATTTCTGATCCTGCTCCTGCTTATTACCTGGGAAAGCAGCAGAGAACAGTCCAAATTCTTGGGCCCCTGCACCCGCTGGGAGACCCAGAGGAAGTTTGTGATTCCTAGCTACAGAATGGCCCAGCTCTGATGGCTATAGCCATTTGCGGAATCAGCAGATGTAAGATCTCTCTCCCTCTCAGTCTCTCCTTCTCTCTGAAACTCTGCCTTTCAAACAAACAAAAATAAGAATGTGGCAGTACATTTGGTGTTGTAGCAGAAGAGACAGAACTAAATGGGCAACGACCCCAAACAAATGATGGCAGCAAAAAATTTCAATGAATGGACCCAATGGACATTGGGAGGGTGACATCATCCTCAGATCGGTGAAATTGGAGCATTTCAGAACTATCCAAACCACCTGGACAGAACCCTCGGAATAGGTACACATTGAGACTCTGGGTTGATATGAGGTGGTGATTCCTCATCACTGGGTACTGGGACGTGTGGAAAGTCAGGAGTGGTTTCACCCTTTGCTTCTCCCCTTCCCCCAGGAACAAGAAGAAACAGCAAATTTGGAAGCAATGAATTAACCCAATTTTCCCTAAATCTCGAGCATTCCCACCCTGATCAGCCATGTAATCATTTCAAAAATAAAATTTATTAAAAAACAAACAAAAATAACCCTAAAAAATTAAATCAAAAAATGTAAGTTAAAATAAGTTAACTTATGTGTTAACTGGCATCAGGATATTTCATTAACATAAACTGACATTTTAATCTTTTTTTTTTTTCTTGAGAGGGAGCAAGAGAGAGCAGGTTCCCATCCACCAGTCTACTTCTCAAATGATCACAAGAACCAGAGCTGGACCAAAGCCAGAAATCCAGTCCAGGTCTCGCACCTGGTGGGAAGGACCCAGTGACTTGTGCCATCCCCGATGTCTCCCAGCATCTGCATTCATGGGACACTGGGATTGGAGGCTGGAGGCAGACAGCAAACCCAGCCCTAATAACCACTAGGCTAATGCTGGTTCCTCCAGGCTGCATAATAGTGGTATTCATCTTAGCATATTCATTGCTTTCAAGTTCAGTCAATTCAAGGTAAAAATCTGTTAACTTCACTTACCTTCCCTGCCCTCTTCCTCTCTATTTAACACCACAGCAGTGGAGTCTCCATTAATCACATCCAAGAAGAAGTCAGCAGGATTGTTATAGGGCTCACACTGGTAACCTACAGAAGAAGGCAATCCCAGAACATGAAGATGATCTTGGAAAAGAGGCAACCTGAGCAACAAAGAATGAGTCTAGTGAGCACAAACTGACCAAAGATGGCCAGGCGAACTGGACCTCGTGCTCCATCTACCCCAGCCCAAACAGCACTCCTCGCAACCCTGCTTGTTCTCCTTCAGGATCGCGGGAATGCAGGAGCTTCCCGCATGGCAGTATCAATCATACCAGCAGATGAGAAGTACTCCAAGGCCTCCTGAGCTGGTCCATGGAACATCAGCTTTCCTGAGGCCAATAAGGTGAGGCTATCAAACAACTTGAAGATGGAATACCGAGGCTGATGGATAGAGAAGATGATGGTGCGCCCCTGCTTAGACATCCTAAGTGAAAAGAGAAGAACAAGTCCTTCAATAGCTGAACCTTGCACTTTGTGGTAACATCATTTAGTCCTGCCTTGAGAATATCTGACTAGTTCCTTTTGAATTTTTCCTAACTTCTCTTACACACCTGATGGGTGGGAAGCCTAACTTCAATGTTATTATTCAGAAAGATGAAGGGGGGCAGTAAGACTTCTTTTTAAATATTTACTTATTTACTTTAAAAATGAGACTTGGAGAGAAAAGAAAGGGAGGGAGAGAAAGAGAAAGGAAAAGAGAGAGAAAGATCCCATCTGCTGGCTCACTCCCCAGACGGCCCCAAGTGCCATGGCTGGACCAGGCCAAAGCTAGGAGACAAGAGCTTCTTCTAGGTCTCCTATGTGGGCAGGAGGGGTCCAAACACCCAGGCTACTATCCATTGCTTTTCCTAGGTCATTAATAAGAAGCTTGATACAAGTGGAGCAGCTATGACATGAACTGTTGCCCATATGGAATGCCAGCATTGTAGGTGGCAGTTCTCCCTGCTATACCCATCATCGGCCCCACAGATCAGATTTACAGGGTCAAACAACAGGACAAGGAGTTTCAGTTAGCGAGACACAAGACTAGATCCATTTCGGTGCAAGCAGCAGTGCTGAGCTACTTTTTCAGCACAGTTGTCACTCGCAAGAGACAAAGGCCAAAACCACTGTTTATAAGCATTACAGTGTTTTATGGAAGAATCTCTTCAAGAAGAATAGTCTGAATCATCTACCATAGGCTATCAGGGTGCCCACATGTATCCTGCCTCCAAGAGGATCAGCCCAGGATACCAAGCGTTTCAACTCCATGTGGACTACAGTGTGGACTATGCCAGGTCAGCAAGAAGAGAACTTAGGACCAGGCTGAGGACGGTCTCAGTAGAGTAACCAGAGGCCTAGCAGGAGTGAGCAGAGAAGAAAAAATGCACTAAAAGTGGAGGAACAAGGGAGCACAGTGTGAAACAGAAAGGCTGATTCAGCCAACTGGCGGAAGCTCAGTGTGGCAGAGCCAGGGGCATGCGTGTGCATGGGTGTGAACATGTGTATGTGAGCAGGAGTGTTTTGTGTATATTTGTGTCTATGTGTATATGTTGGGGAATGGTTGGGCTTATGTGTATGGGTACATCCATGTGTGTATAGAATCATGTGAGTTATGAGTATATTTCTGTATGAATATGTGTATGTGTATTTGTGTTGGTGTCGGGGGGGGGTATGCTCATGGTGGGTAAAGAAGTCAATCAAAAATATTGTGACAAAAAGTCCACAATGAAAGCCTTCATTCAAACACAAGTAGAGGCTGTGGAAGGACAGAACGCCAGCCAGGGGAACTGCGGGACAGCCCTGCTACCCAAACTGTGTCCTCAGGACCAACAGCATGTGTCCAGCAGCAACTGTTAGAATCTCTGACCTCAGGCCTAGAGAAACAGAAGCTGTTTTATTTTTTTTTAACTTTATGATACAGTTCCAGACACAATGAAGAAGCCATGTTTTACCAAGCCCCAGACACTCCTGACATTAGGAGCACACCAGTGGCTGAGGGCTGAACCAGAGCCCTGCAGCATTTGTTTGTTTGTTTTTGTTTGTTTTTGTTTTTTTGGATGGGTGTGTGCTGAGCCCCAAACACACAGAGGCTAGGTAAAGTTGTCCGAATCAACTCTCCCCTAACAGTCACCACCATCACAGACAACAAAGATAGCATGCACATATTCTCCACCTAAACCTGAACTCCAGACCCAATGTTCTGCATCCTCAATGCTGTGTGCAACTGACATGCAACTATAAGAAGCGAGCACAAGGAGGGGAAGTCACAGGAAGACTGCATATCGAGCAGTGAGGAAGGAACAGTGTCAGACAGAACTCTCACTGGTTCATTCCTCTAAATGCTAGCTACAGCCAAGGCTGAGCCAGGATAAAGCCAGGAGCCAGGAATTCCAGTCAGGTCTCCCATGAGAGTATGAGTGGCAGGGACCCAACTACTTCAGCCCACACTGTCACATTCCAGGATGTCCATGAAAAGGAAGCCGCCATCCAAAAGCCACCGCAGACCCATAATTTAAACTTAGTCCCTCAGAATATGGGATGTGGGCATCTTCAATCAAAAGGTGAACACCCATCCCTCTGACCGCTTTAAAAATGACACAATAGGTTGCAAAAGTAGCGACAGAGGTTACACTGAACAATGAAGTAAGCTGCCTATGCAAGTGGGTAAATATATTGAGATGACGGCAACCAAGTTTCCCACTGTCTGAGAAGTCACTGACACACATGGAAAGGGTAAAGGCTGAAAATAACACTCAAGTATTAGACCAAAATTAGAAACATTATTGAGTTTGTGAGCTTTTTAATGTATATGTGCCAACAGACTCAGCAATAATTATGGATGTTATGTTTATATATCTTTCTATTCACAAATATGGTTATAAACATATGACACTTACATTCAATATGTATTTCCAAATAAAATATAAAAATATAGTTTACACACACACACACACACACACACACACACACAAATCTATTTCCTAAATCTGTCTGGTCAAAGGATTTGAAAGCAGGGACATGTCAGTTGTAAGGAACCCACCCAACCACCTTATCTGGGAATCCTAGAAGAAACAGTGGACACAAGACAAATGCAAGAGGAGCCTGGGCCATAACACACTGATTACAAAGTAAAGAAAGTCTTCAAGAATAACTAGGAACATGTAAAAAGGACACAATAGCCACACTGAAGGGACTTCCATCAGCCAAATTAGGGTTAATGTGACCATCAACATGGTTAAGAATGTAAGGGTTAGAATTGCTTGATTTACACAGAAACCTGAGCAGATAAGTAGGGAGGGAGAGAAACCTACCCCTAAACTCTGACCATGTTGGGTGACCATCACAATAGCAATTGACACAGGCAGGTGTTAGAGTGTGGGCTAAAAGCCGACAGGCAAAGATTTCATTTAGAATAGAATCAGGATGTGACAGCCAATTATCTCCCCACAAAACAATCACCAGTTACAAAGTGGATCAAGTCCTCAGGTTCCTGCCACTCCTGTGGGAGACCTGGATGGAATTTCTGATTCCTGCTTCAGTCCCAGCCGAGAGGAGTCAATATGGGCACTGGAGGAGTGGAGGGAGACTGAGACTCATTTATTCTCTCTCTCTCAAATAATTTTTTTTTTAAAGTTTAAAAGAAGAAATAAAAAAGTATAAAAGATGTGGTTCTGGTAGGGTTCCCAGGGCACAAAAGCAAGACAGGAAGTGGGAGGACAGCAGCCAGACCAGATGGAGGTGAAGCTGGCAGGGCTCCCTTGTGGTCACAAGGTCTGTGGGTGGTGAATCCTTGATCTTTGGGAGCTACACAGTGGAACATTCAGGGGGCAACAAGGTCATGACGTTAGGAAAAATGACGTGAAGGGAGTTACAGGAGCATATGTAGTCACATGAACAGAAGGGAATAAAGAGACACGGGATTTTGCTTGAACTATTAATAGTTTTTCCACACAAAACTGAAATTATTTATTAATTGTAGGAACTGGTGCTCTGATACTTTAGGTTAGGCAGCGTCAGTATCCCATATGAATGCCAATTTCAGTCCTGGCTGCTGTACTTTTGTTCCAGCTTCCTGCTAGTGTAATGGGAGAGCAGCGGAGGATGGGCCAAGTGTTTCGGCCCCTGCACACATATGGGAGACCTAGATGAAGCCAGGTTTCAGCCTGGCCCTGTCCCAGCTGGTGCAACCATTTGGGGGAGGTGAACTAGCAATTAGAAGATCTCTCTCTCTCTCTGTGGCTTATAGAGCTAGAGCTAGAGCTAGAGCTAGAGCTAGAGATAGAGATAGAGCTAGAGATAGAGATAGAGATAGAGATAGAGATATATTGTAAAATATATATTAGTTTAAAGAAAATGTCCAAAATTTATGAAATTTCTTTTGTTGACATGTCCCTCCCACACTCTTCTTTGACAAAAGAAATGCCACTTTTTTTTTTTAACTTCATGTACTTTTTCAGGTCCAAAATTTTCTTTGAGATCTTTTTTTTAAGAGAGAAACAGAGCCTTCTTCCCACTGGTTCACTCCCAGATGGCCACAACAGCTGGAGATGAGCCAGGCCCGAGCCAAGAGCCAAGAGATCCATCTGGGTCTCGCATGTGGATGGCAGCGGCAAGCACTTGAGCCATCTTCTACTGCCTTTCCAGACACATGAGCAGGCTAACCAGGACTTGAACAGCATTCCAAGTGCAAACTGTGCCACATCACCCATCACAGGCCCCAAATCACAGGATTCTTTCTCTTAATAACCACACCCCTAGTCTAATCATGAGCTAATCCTGCTGGTTCCACCTTTGAGCAGATCCAGGATCCACCCATCTGTCTCCACTTCACTACTACCATTCTCCTGACTGGTCCTGTTACTCAGTGGCACCGTTTTCTCTCTGCAGCTATCACTCCCCATCATTGATTCAGTAAAAACCACAGTTCTCACAGTGGTTCTGAGGCCTCTACAATCTATCACCATTTCAAATTCATTTCACATTGAGACCATCCAGGTCCTCTGAGGTCTTGGCCACACCTTCAGGTGGGTGGCACCAGCATTGTCCACCCATTTCCTAATTAATCAAGAGATCACCAATGGGGAACATCTCACCTATAGGTTCCCCGCCCAACAAGGAGGGGTCAAGGAAGGCTTAAAACCCCTAGACCCTTCCTCAAACCTTTGGTGTCTCTCTCTCCCTCCTCTTTCGAGAGCACCCCACCTCCCGGCTTCTCTTCCGGAGGTGCTTCCCTTTCCTTCCCTTCCCTTCCCTGCTCCCTGGTCCCTTCGCAAATAAACTTTTCTGTTTGCAACAGATTCCCGGCTTTTTATTTCTATACTAAGCTGAGGAAAGAACCCACTGGGCATTTCTGGTAACACACATCACCCTGCTCCAACTGTAAGAGGTTGAAGATTTTCCTCCCCCAAACTGAAGTTAAGGGGCTGGTGTTGTGGCATGGTGGGTCGAGTTTCCATCTGCAATGCCAGCATCCCACATGAGTGCCTGTTTGTGTCCCAGCTACTCTACTTCAGATCCCAGTTAATGGCCTGGAAAACACAGAAGAAGATGGCCCATGTGTTTTCATCCCTGCCACCCAAATAGAAGACATGGATAAAGCAAGCTTCTCGGCTCCTGGCTTAGACCTGGCCCAGCAATGGCCATGATGGTCATCTGGAGAATAAACCAGTGGATGAAAAATCTCTCTCTCTCTCTCTCTCTTTTTTTTTCTTTCTCTCCCTATCTCCATAATTCTTCCAAATAAAATAAAATAAACCTTAAAATTTATGTCAAACTCCTAACCTCTACTATTTCAGAATGTGACTGTATCTGGAGACAGTACAGAGAATTACAGTACGGCAAGGTCACTGGACAGGTTCTCATCTATTGTGACAGGTGTCTTTTTAAGAACAGACCAGATCACAGAAACACAAAGGAAAGAGGCGATGACGACACAAGAAGACAGCCATGTATGAAAAAAGGAGAGACCTCAGCTTACACTATCCTGCCAACTCCTTGAGCTCAGACTTCTGGCCTCCAAAGCTGGAGAAAAGTTAACTTCTGAGTCCAGAGTTCTGGTGTAACAAGTAAAGCCACCACCCACAACACTGGCATCTTATATGGGCACCAGTTCAAGGTCCAGCTGCTCCACTTCCCATCCAGCTCCCTGCTAATGCTCCTGGGAGAGCAGCAGAACACAGCCCTTGTGTTCAGGACCATGCATTAGCATGGAAGATCTAGATGCAATTCCAGGTTCCTGGCTTTGGCCTGCCAGCTCTGCTATGGCCATTTGTGGAGTGAACCAAAAGACATGGAAGAGCTCTCTCTGTTTCTCTCTTTCACACTACTTCTCAAATGAATAAAATAAATTTTACCACTAAAAAAAGAGCAGTGTTGTCACAGCATTTACCTTTTCAGGAGTAAGAGGACAGCATTTGCTGTGCTCGAGTCTAAGCCCGTGGTGGGCTCATCCAGGAACAAGATGGAAGGATCCGTAATGAGCTCCATTCCTATGCTGGTCCTTTTCCTTTCCCCTCCAGATACACCACGGATAAACTGAGTTCCGACCTAAAACACAAATTTATTGCAATCATCAACCAAAACCACCAAAGTCACCATCATGGGGACCTCCTAATGCTGCCACCCCTTCAGAGGTGCTTTATTGCACTGTCCTCAATCAACAGGATCAGCAAACCATGACACCTGAGATAAGCAGGTATCTCTTGTATATACACCAAGGCCTAGGTCAGGGCCGCTGATAAAGTCCACCTTCGACAGTTTGTGATGTTCCTTGTCAAGTTCACTCGATTAAAACCAGGAAGGTAGAATGCTAACATGGGGTACTAACAGTGGAATTGTAGTCTACAAGAAGAGACAGGGATAGGAGATGGGAAAGAAGAAAGCTGCTAGAAGAACACATTAGTCTTCTAACAGTCACCCCTTGCCATTAACAGTTACCAAATGGATAAAGCATGGGAGAGTAGATCAGCAGCCAGGGGAGCCCACTCTGTACGCCATGGCTTCCCAGCTGACCCTGTCCATGCTTTTCCTCCCTGGTTCACTACTTCAGCAAATCCAGAAGGCAGGATAGCCTATAGGGCAATGGTTTCCAGGGTTTCATCCAGATGATGTCACTATGGGGTGAAGAGCAGAGGAAGACTTTGGAGAGGCAAGAAGCAAAAAAAATGTTCATATTAAGAGTCTCCAGAGGGCCCGGCGCGGTGGCGCAAGTGGTTAAGGTCCTCGCCTTGCACGCCTGGGATCCCATATGGGCGCCAGTTCTATCCCAGCAGCCCCGCTTCCCATCCAGCTCCCTGCCTGTGGCCTGGGAAAGCAGTCAAGGATGGGCCAAAGCTTTGGGACCCTGCACCCGCTTGGGAGACCCAGAAGAGGCTCCTGGCTCTGGATTGGCATAGCATCGGCCGTTGTGCTCACTTGGGGAGTTAATCATTGGACGGAAGATCTTCCTCTCTGTCTCTCCTCTGTGTATATCCGCCTTTCCAATGAAAAAATAATAAAAATAAATCTTAAAAAAAAAAAGAGTCTCCAGAGACAGGGAGAGCCATCTGGTATCACAGTTAAGCTACGACTTAGAAGTCCACATCCCATAGTAGAGTGGCTGGTTCAAGGCTTGGTTCCTCCGCATCCTGGGAAGCAGCAGGTGACAGTTTAAGTACTTGGGTCCCTGCAACCTATGTGAGAGACCTGAACTGACTCAGGCTCCTGACCTGGGCTTGGCTCAGCCCTAAGCATTGCAGGCATTCAGGGGTTGAATCAGAGGGAAGAAGCTCCTTTCTCTCTGTCTCCCCTCCTTCCAAATAAAATTCAAATGAATAAATCAGAAAACAAAAATAAGTCAGATATGGTGGCCTCTCTTGGCTATTCTTCCAGACACAACCCAGCAAAACAGATGGCCAGTGTCAGAAGAAGCAGTGGCCAGTCAAGCATCCTGTGCTTCACTGTTGTTAAACACGGGAACCCACAGGGATTAGGCGACAGTCACATCCCTCCAAAACCTCACATCTCTTGTTCTCCATACTCCCTTTCCCAACTGAAATCAAATGGGATTATTTTAATGGAGCAGGTACTCAGTCTAGCAGTGAGGATGCCGACATCCCACATCAAACTGCCTGCCTGGATGAGATTCCCACCTCTGGTTCCTGATGCCATCTTTCTAAGGCAGGCCCTGGTAGGCACAGGTGATGGTTCCTGTAACTTAACTTAAGTTACTGGCTTCAGCCTGACTCAGCACTAGTGAATGGAAACTACTTTTCTATTTCTTTGTTTTATCTGCCTGTTTATCCATCTATCTATTTATCTATCATCTACCAACCAATATATTAATCTACCACTAACAACACCTGTCTCTGCTCTTAAATTTTAGAAAAAGCAAAATCAATTAAAAATCTCATTTTCACCCAGTTTCAAATGAATTTTCAGTAACAATTCCATACCTACTAATCAAATATATAGGTCACAGATTCAACTTGTTTTTTCTTCTTAATCCTGCAAAACTCACTCAAAATCTTGCCCATAACTATGAGTCTTGGATCTAAAAGACAATTCAGTATATAACAGTCCCTAAAATACACATTATAAGAAGAAAGCAAACGAAGGAGGGGATAATTTGGAGAAGAAAACATTAAAATTGAGGAAAAAATTAAAATAACTTGAATGTTAACGAAGATGAGATGTAAATCCTGATTTGACCAAATTTTATTTTGGAAGCCAACTACAACCACATTAAAATATTCAGAGCAAGAATCCCAAGATTCCTGCCAAGGATCAATTCCAGAAGGATACTTTCAAAAAGCCATGGAACTTAGTTCCCGGAGGAAGAAGGGGAGAGAACAGCTGGAGGCAGGGAGAGGAACATAGAGGGGAACATAGAGGGAGGAGAGTCAATGCAAAGCTCCCAGCAGCCCGACTTCCCCACGGAGGGCAGACGGCACACACCACAGGCCATGTGCAGAAACACTTCCCAAAATGGGCCATGCTCCACTCCCATATGATTTCTGTCTGGGTCATGCCCACCTCCCCAATACTGAACTAGCCACTGTTGAGCCACTCTTGACCGCACATACTGCAGGAACCCTTAAATCAGAGTCTTGTTGCCACACAGAGGGAGATCCAACATGCTGGCAACAACAACAAGTAATTCTTCACATCACCTTGCAATTCTTCACATTACCTTGGAATCTGCCACTTTTTCCAGACCTAACTCTCGAATGACCTTGTTGATCCGTTCATTCTTCTCATGATTCGGCATGGTCATTGGAAGCCGAAGCGCTGCCGAGAACTGTAAGTTTTCTCTCACTGTCAAAGTGCCCATCACAACATCATCCTTCAGAGAAAATGGCATTTGAAAGAGACATATTGAGTTTTTTCTGAGATCAGCACCCTTTGCTAATGTGACTAACCCACTAAATTAACAGCCCAAAGGTCAAGTCCTTTTCCTGTCCCAAAATGCAGTGATAATGGCATAGACAGTGACAGATCCTGAGGAAATTGCCTCTATGCCTGACCACAGGTTAGCACCATGATCGCAGGAGACATCTCCAGGCTGTCCTGTGTAAGGCACTGACAGAAGTTCTTCCTAACCTGGAGGAAGAGAAAGGGTGGAGGGAAGGGCCAAAGAGGACAACTGTGTTACCCTGCAGGAAGTGCCTGACGACTAGCACTAACATCCCTGCCCTGCCAAGGGTTACACATCCCAGGACCTCTTCATGGAATACCCCCTTTCAGCTTACAGAAGATTATGAAAAACTGGTGTATCTGAGCACGCTTACAATCAACCGGATGCATACTTAACTGGCAGCCAAGATGCTTGTCCATAGAGCAATGCAAAACCAGGAACACTTACTTGCACCACATAACCTGAATTACACTTGAAATTGGCAGGCTGAGGGGCTCCGTTTATCAAAACATCTCCAGTCAATCCATGGGGATCTTTCCTGGCGGCCAAGACATCTAACAACCTATAAAATGATACAGATATTAGGGGACTTTTCCTCTACAAAGCAGGTCACATCCCAAACCCTGAATCCAAATTCTGCTCAAGTTAGAAAAAAACTACCATGATTGATTCACTGCTACTTCTTGTTGCTACTACAGAGTTAAAAGTTATACATAGTGTTTCAACTGCATAGAGGTTGTTGGCACCTCCAACCCCTAAACTGTTCAGTCAACTCTACTCATATATTTAAACTATCAGCTTTCTTTTTTTCATGATATGTTAAAATAATGGCCTAAAACACAAAAATAAGATACCACCAACTGATCCAACACAGAACTCCCCAACGGCCACCTCCACTCCCACCCAGCTGTCTGGCCTTGTTGGTCCCTACAAAGGTAATGCATTCCTTTATCTGAGGTGCATGCCTTCAGTCATGCCTTCTGCTCCATCTTCCCACTATTAATAGTATCCCTCCTCACTCCTTGGTCTTTCTCTCCCATCTTATGAGCTCTTAATATGGTCAACCACTCTATACCAATCAACTTATCATGTCCCATTAGTAAGGTTGTTTTAGGAAGACTTCTTCCATTCCTTGGGACAGAACCACATGCATGGTGTACACAGCACCTCACACCTGAGAATACCCAGAAAATGGTCAACAAACCCCTCCACCTGAAAAAATGAGTTCAGAAAGCACACCCCAGGTGCACAGTAGACACTTGTTAGTACTCCGTTATACTCACGAAGATTTGCCTCCACCTGTGGGTCCCAGGATGGCATTGAGGCCAGGTTTCATGATCCCACTGCAAACACAAGAAAACACTAATTTACTCTTCCACTTTCAGCTGTATTCTGTGAATTTAGTGTCAGGACTGAATACATTCAATGGCAGATGAGATCACAGGAAAAAAACACAACCAACTCTTAAAGAAAAATAAATGTTGTTTAATAGAAGTCTAGTATACAAAATTTGTCAGTCACAGCAAGAAAATTGGCTCTGGTCTCTCCAAACACCTTGCAGTTATTCTATGAAAAAGTAACAATCTTATGAGGCCTCTCTGTTGCATTTATCCCTCCTGATATACGGTCAAGGACATCACAGCTTCTGAGCAATACGTCACAATCAAGAGCTTCAGGTCACTTCACTTGCGGCTTAGTTAAGTTCTGTAACTAATTTATCACTGATTTATAGAGTATTGGTAGCAGTGCTTGCACCACTAAAGTCTAACAATCATTAAAAAAAAAAAGAGTACATGTTAAATAGAAACCCAAAGGTGAGAACAAAGCACTTCAGAGGACCAAAGAAAATATCAAGAGTACTTAATTCTCAACTAAAAGGGGTTGGGGGAGAAAAGGTCTTAGTCCAATGAAAAAGCAAAACATACATCCTCAAAATATATCCTTGTCTTTCTTGCTAAGCTGTGCAGATACAGTCAAAACTGGTAGGCATCATTTCATTAGAGGACAGTGAATCCACTAGTGGAGTCTGAAGATGGTGACTATTTGGATAGAGCATCGAAGCACAAAACTCTACAGTAATGCTGACTGTGCAGGGATTCCAGAAGCCAGCAAATAGACTATATTTTATCTGAAAGGCAGTGGGCAGACTGGTTAAGAAGAAAGAACTGGCCAACAGAGATGGATGGACATCACCACTGCACGCGCACAGCACAATGACATAGAGGTTCACTTGGTCCTCTTGACATCACTGTCCTTGCCCAGTCTTTCTGCAGAACTGTTATGTCAAGCAAATGTGCTTCAGAGGGAGAGGAGGGTGTATCCCCAATGGAAGGTCAAAGCTGAAGGCTCCCTCATTCCCAGTGATTACCAGAGGTCAATCCTGAGATTACACAACTGTCACGAACAGTAAAGTTCACACACAACCACACTGCAGTGAAAACCTCAACATTTATTGCCTGTTTAACTATCACCATTATACAATGACTGGTGTGTGCTAAGGTGAAGCGTACCTCTGCTTTGCTCATTAATGGAGGTGCCTCACGTTGAAACACGCAAATGCCAACAAGAGGTCAGTCAACAGGAACAAGCTGGGATGCATACAAATCTTACTCGTTCGGTGACCTTCCCCTGCAATTCTGTAGTATAAAGGCCAGCCAATGACTGCGCAAACTGTCAAGGTGCATTTATCTACAGCTCTTGATAATACTTCTTTAGTGATAGCTGCCTAGTTGGTAACTGCTTCTTTAATAACTGGAATTAGATCTGTTATTCAGTAATTTTTGTTGCCAGGAAATCCTTCTAGGTTTGGAAGAACAAACAAACCTGAATGATTCACTAGAAACTAAGTATGAATGTTCTAAGAGAAAAAATTCCACAGCTCCTCCAGTCTGGTTGATTTGGTGTTAAAGGCATACATAACAGGAAAACAATAACGGACAGTGGCAAGGGCAAGAGCTCCAATTGGAGCTGTGACTATTTCAACTCCATTCACTGAACACAATCTCTAACTGTCTGACATGGATTTGAGACACTCTTATAGGATACTAGATAGAGCAGACAGTTTAACAAGCCAATATATCAAACTCTAAGGTCCTAGCCTCTATGGATCTGACCAAGGCTGCACACCATGGCTGGTCACCTGCTCCAGATTCATCAACAGTGGTAGGGGCACAGAGTCATGCTCACTGACTTATGTATAGCTGCATTCATGCTTGAGGACAGGGTGAGCACACAGAGGTATGGCCCATAAAACTATAAAGATGCATTCTCTGACCATGGACAGGAGAGGTTCACTGACCCGTCTCCAGTTCTTACTTCGCTGGGCTCCCCACCCTGCTTTGTGAGCACACAAAACCCATCCTACGATGGTACTGTTTTATAGCACTGTTTGTGATGGTTCTCTCTCATTACACCATAAAACATGCAGGCCAGCAGCAAGAACACAGCCATGTTGGCACTTCCCCTCCGGACTCTGGCCTCATATGGAACACTGAATACATGAAACAGAACATAGCCAAAAGGTTCCTGTTGCACTTACTACACTTCAATGTACAGCAGACAATCCTGTGGTCTCACTTTGTCCCACTGCATGGAGTGCAATCACCTACACACACACATACACGGGAGTGAGGAGATAAAGTGAGGATGCACACATCCTTTCTCCATCACCATACCCTAACCCTGCAGTTTATAGTCAAGGATCAAACTGGGTCTTTTAATTCCTTTCTCACAATGGAAGAGGTGTTCTAGTTTACCCACTCATCCATTCACCGTTAAAGTCTCTAAGGACCCAGGACATGTCTGAGTCCCTTGCATAATGTGCAAGGTGAAACAACTAGCAGGCCCAGTGTGGTATCAATATCCCATGTAGGCACTGGTTTGAAACCCAGCTGCTCCACTTCTGATCCAGCTCCCTGCTAATCTGCTTGAGAAAGCAGCAAAAGATGGCCCAAATCCTCAGGCCCCTGCATACAGAAGAGGCTCCTCGTGCCTGGGTCCCAGCTTTGAATTGGCCCAGCTCTACCACAACCATCTGGGGAGTGAACCAGTGGATGGAAGATCTCTTTGTCTATCTCTGTTCTCCCTTTCAAATAAAAGTGAATAAAAATTTTTAATGTCTATTCTGACTACAAAGAAAACGGTTTACATTTGTGAGATCATGTTCCAATTATATGCCAGTTATTTCTCTTACGTCTTTGAAAGGCCAAAACAGGTCCTACTTGCCTTGCTTCACTCCCCAAATGGGCATACTTGCTGGGGTTGGGCAAGGCTGAAACCAGGAGGCATTCAGATATCCTACACAGGTGGGTGGTTCCCAGATACTTGGGTCATTGTCCACTGCTTTCCCAAGAACATTAGCAGGAAGCTGGATCAGACGTGGAAGAGCCAGCACTGAACTGACACTCTGATATGGGATAATGGTATCAAGGCAGTGGCTTAACCCACTGTGCCACAATGCTGGCCATGTGTCAGTGATTTCTATTACCTTCCCCTTCTCTGTTTCTTAGGGGAAGATGATGGACAATCTGGGGAGAGGTGTATAACTGCCAGAATGTAGTAATGCCAGCTACAAAGAGATTGGGGGAAGAAGGGAGACAGCCAGAAGGTGCAAACACGGCTTCTGTTCGGTAATAACAGGACTGACTGCTTGGGGCTAGCCATGGACAATGTGCTGAGCTGTGAAGTACAATGCTGGCATCCCATATGAACGCCACCTTGAGTCCCAGCCAATCCACTTCCAACCCAGCTCCCTGATAATACTCATGGGAAAGCAAAGGAACTGAGAGACTAAGTGCTTGGGCCTCTGCCACCTGTGTGGGAGACTAGGATGATGTTCCTGCCTCCTGGCTTCCAGAGAGCCCAGCACTGGCTATGGTAGTTATCTAGGGACTAAACAAGCAGATGAGAGAAGACTTAAGACACTTCCCCTCTCCTTCTCACAAATAGCCCCCAACTCTTCTCTCTCTCTCTCTCTCTCTTTCTCTCTCTCACTTTCTATCTCTCATTCTATGTGTTACTCATCCTTTAAAATAAATAAATCTGCAGATTTGCAAACTGAAGGAAAGAGAGAAAGATCTTCCACCTGCTGGTACATTCTCCAAATGGCTGCAACAGTCACTACTGAGCCAATCCGAAGCCAGGAGCCTCTCCCAGGTCTCCCATGCTGGTACAGAATCACAAGGAGTTGGGCTATCCTCCGCTGCTTTCCCAGGCTATAAGCAGGAAGCTGGATTAAAAGTAGAGCAGCTGGGACATATACCAGTGCCCATACGAGATGCTGGCAACTAAAGGTTAGCCTGCTGAGCCATGGCACAGATGCCAATGAATAAAACTTTTAGAAACCTGCCTAGTGGGGGTGGTACCACAGCTTAGTAAACTAATTACCTAAAGTGTTGGCATCCCACTGGGCACCTGTTGGTGTCTCAGCTGCTTCAGTTCTAATCTAGCTCCCTACAGCACAGGACTGTGCAAGTCCTTAGGCCCCTGCATTTAAGAATACCGGGAGCAAGCCCCTGATTCCTGGCTTCAGGTTGGTTCAGCTCTAGCCATGACAGCCACTTGGGGAGTTCAACAGAGGATGGGAGATCTCTGTCTCTTCTTCTTTCTATAAATCTGCCTTTCAAATAAAGATAAGAAATTTTTCAAAAAGAAAAAAAAAACTGGGCAAATCATTAATTATACTAGCAGTGACAGCCAGATCTTTCACTTTAAAAAATCATTACTGGGCCCGGCGCAGTGGCGCAAGTGGTTAAAGGTCCTCGCCTTGCACGTCCGGGGTCCCATATGGGCGCCGGTTCTAATCCCGGCAGCCCCACTTCCCTTCCAGCTCCCTGCCCATGGCCTGGGAAGGCAGTCGAGGACAGCCCAAAGCTTTGGGACCTGCACCCGCTTGGGAGACCCGGAAGAGGCTCCTGGCTTCGGATCGGCATAGTATCGGCCGTTGCGCTCACTTGGGGAGTGAATCATCGGACAGATCTTCCTCTCTGTCTCTCTCCTTTCTGTATATCCGCCTTTCCAATAAAAAAATAATAAAAATAAATCTTTAAAAAAATCATTATTATTTGAAAGGCAGAGAGATGGGAAGGAATGGTAAGGAAACAAGAAGAGAAACAAGTTTTTAATGCACAGGTTCACTACCCAATGCCCATGATAAGCAAGGCTAGGCTGGCCTGAAGCCAGTGGCTCACATGGTTGGCAGGAACCCAAGTACTTAGGCCATTGTCTTGGCCTCTTAGGGTCTGCAACAGCAGGAAGCTGAAGCAGGTCAATGAGATGCAAGTGTCCTGAGCAGCCTCTGATCTGCCAAGCGTCCACCTAGCTTTCCAGTTTTTGCAAAGGTTTA